GGCCCTTGGCGGCCGCCAGGTGGAGGGCCGTCTGGCCGTCCCTGGAGGCCGCGTCCGCGCGGCAGCCTGCCTGCGTGAGCACGCGGACCACGGACAGCCTGCGGTGCTCCGCGGCGCAGTGGAGGGCAGTGCGGCCGTCGCCTGCCGCCGCGTCCACGTCGCACCCTCTCTCCACGAGCAGTTCGGCCAAGTCGAGGTGGCCCTGGTCTGCGGCAAAGTGGAGCGGAGTCTCGCCGTCTTCCGATGCAACCTTCACGTCGCTGCCCTTCTCCACGAGAAGTTTGGCCACGTTCAGGTGGCCGCCAGTTAACGCCAAGAGGAGAGCAGTGGAGCCTTCCGCGGTCGCCTCCAGTTCGCTGCCCCTTTCAAGGAGCATGTTCACTTCCTCCTTCCAGCCATGCGTGGCAGCGCAGTGAAGCGCAGTCTGGCCGGCCTTCGTCCTCGCTCTCACGTCGCAGCCCTTTTCTATGAGCAACTTGGCTGCCTCTCGACTGTGGTGGAGAATAGCAACGTGGAGTGCTGTCTGGCCGTCTGCTGTTGCCGCTGACACGTCGCATCCCTTCTCCAAAGCAGCTTCAGCACTTCAACGTGGCCACTGCGAGCGGCACAGTGCAGGGCAGTCCAGCCATCCAATGTTGTTGCAGAAACTTCGAATTTCTCCTCTATGAGCAAGGTGACCACATCTAGCATGCCAAGCTCTGCCGCGAAGTGCAGTGCAGTCCAACCTTTGGCTGACACCGTGTTCACGGCAGCCCCGTTTTGGAGCAGGAGTCGGACCACATGCATCGCGTCACTGCTGAAGCTCAAACGAATAGCGATGTGAAGCGCAGTAAGACCGTCTTCTGACACAGCGTCAACGTGGCAATCGCGTTCTAAAAGCAGTTGGACAAAGTCTACAGCGCACCGCTGACATGCGTAGTGCAAAGCAGTTCGGCCGTCTCTCGAGGCCGCATTCACGTCGCACCCTTCGTCTAGGAGCAGCTTGGCCAGCTGGAGGTGGTCCCATCCAGCGGCAACGTGCAGCGCAGTCGCTCCGTGCTTTGAAGCTGCGTTCACGTCGGCCCCCTTCTCGATCAGCAGTCTGGCGATGTCCAGGTTGTCCCCATGAACGGCGAAGTGAAGCGGAGTCTCCCGTTTTCGTGCCTGCGCGTTGACGTCACATCCGTTTTCCAACAAAAGTGTGACCACATCCGGTTGGTTATGAAAAGCGGCTAGGTGCAGCGCGGTCTCGCCCTTCTCTACGGCGGCATTAATATGGCACCTCTTATCTATCAGCAGTTGGACTAACTTGAGGTCACCCACTCGACTGGCATAGCCCAATGCTTCTTTCCCGTATTTTCCCGCAACGGGACACCCCTTTTCTACGAGAAGTGTGGCCAAGCCGGTGTCTTGAATCCCAACAGCCAAGTGAAGTGCGGCCTGGCTGTCCCTCGCCCCCGCCCGCACCACGCAGCCACTTTCCACCAGCAGTCTGACCGCCTCAACGTGCTCGTGGCGCACGGCCAGGCCCAGGGCAGTCTGCCGTCTCTTCGTCGCAGCCTGCAAGTTGCACCCTTTTTCCACGAGCAGTCTCATTACACCAAGATGGCCCTTTTCAGCGGCGAAGTGGAGGCAAGTCCACCCGGCTTTCGTCGGCGCGTCGACCTCGCCCCCTTTCTCCAGAAGCAGCTGGACCACGCCGAGATTCCCTTTCTCAGAGGCCAAGTGAAGTGCAGTCCGACCGTCCCTCGAAGCAGCCCGCATGTCGCAACCCTTTCCGACGAGGAGTCGGACGACGTCAAGATGTCCCCCTCGCGCGGCGAAGTGAAGCGCAGTCTGGCCGTCTACTGCAGCGGCCTCCACGCTGCAGCCCTTCGCTATGAGCTGCTTGACTGCGTCTGCCTGGCCAGCTTCAGCAGCGAAGTGCAGGTCTGTCCCGTCGGTTGCTCCCATCTTGGTGACGGTGGGGCCTGCAACAGAAAAAGAGTAACTTTTGACATAGAGTCAAACGCAAAAGGACCATAAAAACTACATGTGTTTTACCGTCTCCTATTTTAGTTATTTCAAATTAAAGTAAAGAGGAAGTTACTTTGAAAATATTTCTACATAAGTTGCTTCCTTTGCAGGAGGTTTTGCGAAAAGTTTTGATTGAAGAAAGGATGGAGCCATTTTAAGCATATTGGGTGGGTGGAGGGTGTTTAGGTCGGTTCTTGAGCAATTAAGTTGTTTGGCAAGCCAAGGAATGACCCTGCAAAATCACAGCCAGATCGGCCGAGCCGTTCAGGTGGAGTGGTCTCGATTTCGTCGCCCTTTGGGTCAAAGGTACACCTTGTGGGTCTAAGAAAAGACCCATAATATTGGGAGCGAAAAACGCATGGTTTGGATTTTATTGACGATTATCGTTTTCTCTGCTGACACTAGGTGAATTTGGTCAAAATGTAAAAATCGATATTTGCCCCGTCCCTGTCGGCTCCAGCTGGCTGAATATTGCCTCTCTCATGTAAAGTCCGACGAGGAACAAGAATCCGGCGTCGGTTTCTCGGTTGAACTGCTCAAATTTTGACCATGGCTGTTTTCCTATTTTTGCAGTCATTTCTTGTATCCTGGGTTTTGGTGATGGACATCGATTTTGACTGATCCCGGGGGTAGAATTTGAAGATAAAGGATCAAACTACCAAATTCCGTCATAAGAAGTTTGTGTGTTGGCCAAGAGCAGTAGCTACATCTAAGCGTGAAAATGTGATAATGTTTTGGGCAGAAAACTGCCCCTTTTTGTTCCACCGGACTGCGGTGGAAAAGCGGCGTGCTCCAGTGTGGGGTAAGCCTTCTGAGGCGCTAACCCTCATGTGGGAGCAGCGCACCTCAGCCCAGTGCCAACGCACAGGCAGCAAAACACGGACCTGTCTCCGTAACGCCTGCGAACTGGAAGGTAGGCACGCCCGCCATACGCCGCTGCGTGGCTGGCTGCCTACCCGCCGCGCTCGTAGGCGCTCGCTCTATCTCGACATGGTCTCCCCATTCAGTTCACACTCGTAACAATGTTTAGCCATGGTGTCACGTTTAGCTCCTTTCGTGGTGAATTTGGTTCATTTTAAGATTCTACCGATTTTAAGAAGATTTTGCTGAGTATTAGAGCTCTGAACGGTGATTCTAGTGTTCTAATTTTAGTCTTCGGAGCCTTTGGACCTGGACGGCCTTCGCATTGCACATGAAGTGCAATGCCTTCCCATGCCCATGCATCAGCACAGGGCATTTTCGAGAAGCATTGCACCTAAGGTGCAATATGGCTTTGGCATTTCACGTATGGTGCGATCTTTCAGTGCATTGCACCATACGTGCTATAGTCATAGCGTTCGGAATCTCAGTGAGTAACCGGGGCACGTTCACTGTAGCAAAAAGATGCGGCAAATCTTTTAATTTTTTTGCCAGGATTCTCAGGATCTCAAAGCGCCAAAAGAAAGCCTTTTAAGTGTAGTTTGAAACCCTGACAGCCCCTTGTCGACCACGCCCAAAGGATTTTTAACGTATGCACTGAGAATCCAAACGCTATGAGTAAAGCGTCAATTGGTGCAATGCAAAAGCATTGCACATGAAGTGCAATGCCTCCCCATTCCCATGCATTAGCATAGGGCCTTTTCGGGACGCATTGCACGTTAGGTGCAATGTGGCTAGCGCATTGCACGTATGGTGCGATGTCTCAGCTGCATTGCACCATACGTGCTATACTCATAGCGTTTGGAATCTCAGTGTGCATACTTTTTTTGTGCGGCCTGTGAGAGATTAAATTGAGACACGTGTGGGAAAGCAAACGGAAAGGACTGATAAGACAATCGCACCATTCGTCACCTTCGGCTTGCCCCGAAATACCTCAAGTAAGTCAGCCCGGCGGCGCTGTGCTGCTATTGACGCTTCGTGTCCGCACACTGCCGGCCCAGCCGGCGTACTGGCACTGGCGTCCCAGAGAGCCGGCTGGGCCGCTGCCACGCTGAGAGAGAAAATCGCCTGTTTCTCTCTCACCCGGCGTGGAGTTTTGATGTCCGTTGTTTCGGACGTGTCCCGGGTCCCCACCATACTAGCTCTGGCTATCCGTGAGGAGGCTTTGCTTTGAGCCTGGGCCACTGTGCGTCATCGGGCCGCGGTGACTCACTCGCACCGCGACCTGCCATATTGCGCGTACGAGGGGTGGCCTAGCTGCCGGCGCCAGTCGGCCGAGCGACGCGACGCCCACCGCACACTACAAAATCGTACTAAAGGGTCGCACGCATTTGCGAATTTAAAGCCAAACTGAAAGGGGGGGGGGATCTACAAACTGAAGTGTGTACTCAGTATGCATCTACAGATGTATAAGTACACACCTACAGATGCATACCTAGCTGAATACACATCTACACATGCATACCTGTTAAGTATGCATCTGTAAGTGCATACTTGGCAAGTATGCATAGGTAGGTGTGTACTTGTCACCATATAAATGCCCAGTATCAAGTACACATCTACAGATGCATACCTGTCAAGTATGCATCTGTATATGTGTACTCAGCTAGGTATGCATCTGTAGGTGTGTACTTATAAGCATCTGTAGATGCATTCTGAGTGCACACTTCAGTTTGTAGAGCAAGTAGCACTTTTTGCCCACTGACAGGAGCGGCTTGTTTTAGCTGACGATACCTAGGTACCTAGCTCTACACATATTTCCTTCCTTTCTGGGTGCTTTATCAAAAACCCTTTTCCCCCTTCCATGTATCCGTGCCTGCCAGATCAAAGGAAGTTCTCGGCTAAAGAACGAAGAACAACTCGCATCATACTATTTGCCCGTCCTCGCGGGCCGACCAAAATGCACCCCGTCTCCCTTCCCACCCACCAAGGCCATGAGGATAGCCAGAGCGAGTGGTGGGGGCCAGGGGCACGTCCGAAACGTCTGCGCAATTATCGAACCCTCCTTACCGCGAGGGAGAGAGACGGCGGAATTTCTCTCTCGAACCCTAGCCCACGCAAGCAGCCGGCCGGCCGGCACAGCTCAGCTGAGCAATCGCAAGCTCTGGGACGCTCGACACTCACCTCACCAGTACGCTGGTAGGGGCGGCAGCGGGCGGACACGATGCGTCACAGGAAGACAGCTCAGCCGGGCAGACGCACGACTTCAGGTAACTCGCAGCAAGCCAAAAGGCAGTGTCGTTACACTGAGAATCCAAACGCTATGAGTATAGCGCCAATTGCTGCAATGCATTTGAAGACGTTTTCATTGCCCCAATTGCTGCAATGCTTTTGCATTGCACGTGAAGTGCAATGCCTTCTCATGTATTACACTGTCAGAAATTTTGTCGTAAATTAGCGACAAAAACGTCGCTAATTTTGATAGCGACAGAAATCGTTCTGAAACTACTTGGTCGTAACTGAACGACAAAATAATCATTTCTCTACGACAATGTCGTAATCGCGATTACATATTTTGAAATCTGAAATCCCCGAAAAGTTGATGAAAAGTTGCAATTTTGCTCGCTTATTTGCGATTTGTGTCGTTCATTCACGATTCTTTACACAAATTTACGACAAGATTCGTAAATGTACGACTGAAGTCATAACTGCACGACATACTCAATAGATAAATTACGATCGTTCGTAAACTAACGATTAAGTTGTAAATTTACGACTTAATTCGTTTCAAAACGGAACGTCTCGCTATCAAAATTAGCGACAAATATGTCGTAAATTTACGACTCAAGTCGTATATTTACGACTTGAGTCGTAACAAAACATGTCGTTTAAAAACGACCTAATTGTTTTACAAAATGTCGTAAATTTACGATTATTTTTAACAGTGGAGCATAGGGCATTTTCGGTACGCATTGCACGTAAGGTGCAATATGGCTAAGGCATTGCACGTCCTGCAATATCTCAATGCATTGCACCATACGTGCTATGTTCATAACGTTTGGAATCTCAGTGCAGAAAGGCAGACAAAAAATGGCGCGCAAACACACGTGGGCGACAGTCTGTCTCTTCTCAGCTCCAAGGCAACTTCTCACCACAGCTGTTGAGAATGGTGCCTATAGTAGGCGAAAGGAGACCGGTGTCTTTGGGCTACTTTTGCCTACCTTTCTGGCAACTCTGCCGAAGTTGACAGACGGTGCGCTTGTCTTATCAGTCGTTTCAGTATTGATTCTACACCCGCACACTTGTTTCCTCATGATCTCTCATGAGGCCGAGCAAAGAAAAGTGGGTATTCTTGTTAAATGTTTTGAGTGTGATCTCTAACCAGCTTGCCCAACACTTTATGCGCATTTTGGCTCCCCAGAATGGTACGATTTTTCAGTTTGTCCGACTAAGGCAATTTTTTCCATGGATTGCGACAGTGTTGTTCCAGGTCGATATGAATTTGCACTATCTCCCAATAGATACCCTGGATTGAAACAAAATTATACCATCGTCGGATGTGCCAAAAATCACCCCGCCATTAAATGAGTACACGCTTACGTTGATATGATACGACATGGGACATGAGCTGCCAACTGTAGTGCAATCAACACTCTCATTCCAGGAACCGGACATCACGTTGAAACGAACGTGACAAACTGTCACGTTCGTTTGAGCATTGTTTCACATTCGTTTGACTATGAAAAAGGTAATTTTTGTCCGATTCACAATGTGTGAATGTGACACAATGCTCAAACGAACGTGATATTTTGTCACGTTCGTTTTAAGGGGGGACCCTGGTGAAACTTTCAAGTAGGCTTTAAAATAATCCCAGAAAGTTGAAACTTTGCTTGATTGTTAGGTTCATTATGGTGAGTTCATAAAACAAAATTCAATCCAAAATGTTAAACGGTCTCTGAGAAAAGTGGCTTGTTAATGTTTTTTAGAGCGTTGGGGAAAAATCTTCCTGCGTCTTTCATTGGAACGGAAAGTCTTGAAAATTTTTTTGGGTCATCCTTAAGATGTATAGAAGAGATTTTAGTGACGGAATTTTCAATTTCAACTTCTGTCCTGAGATATCAATTTTCAAATTTTAACATTTAAAAAAAGTGAATTTTTTGCCTTTTTTTGAAACTTTTAGGTGTGTGTTAAAAAAAGTAGGGCTGATATCAAGATTCCGTCACTAAAATTTGTCGACAAGTCATCAATGAATAGAGTCCATGCAAGACGACTCATGTAGGTGTCGACCAGGAACGCAGGAAGTCTTTCTACGACAAAATTTTTTGTCGACTGAGCAAAGATGTGAAGTGGAGCGTATAAGCCAACGACAACTGATCTCAATGTTATTTCTTTCCAAATGATGAAGGAACTACCCACATAGTTTAAAGGTGTTCAACCTGTTGAATTTGAAACCCTCTATGCACATTTTTATCTATGAACTTTAAAAATACTATTTTTGGCAGTTTTGGCCATTTTTTCACCAGGGTCCCCCCTTAACGTGATGTCACGTTCCTCGGATGAGAGTGAAGGTGCAAAAATTATAACCATATCACCACGTCTGTTATTTTAATTACAAATCAAAACGTTCATTTAACAAAATTATCGATTTATAATCGATTCCCAGTTCCTTACTGGAGGTTATTTTGGTCCATTCTCGGGCTGCTCGACGGCAGACGCCAAAGCTAGGTAGCACCCAGGCGCTGGCTTTGCCTCTCGGGTCAACCGCCTGGGAGGTCGGCCACCCACAGTACTCCGCGAGTTTTGCCACTTTTCCGACCCTGACTATGGTTTCTTTTCATTGGGCTCCCCTGTCCTGTTTCCTCCGAGACAAGCACGAACACACACTGTGCTCACGCGAGGCCGTAAGAAAACTCTGTGTAGCCTATCGCATTTTGTTTCCTATGACACTGTCATACACACTAAATTCTTATGGACTTTTTTATGCATAGTTATGCATGCTCAGAAACGTCCATATGTTATGTATAATATTTTGCATCACTGTGTACATTTTATGCAGGAAGACGCATAAAATGTACACAGTGATGCATAATTTTTTACATACTTTATGGACGTTTCTGCGCATGCATAACTATGCATAAAAAATGCGTCCTTATGCATTTTAAAAGTCCATAAGAATTTAGTGTGTACACTGTCATCCAATGTGCGATACTTTTACTACCAATGAATGCGATAAAACGGAGTTTACGATTCTCACCTATCTTACCCTGGAGTACGATAATTAGGTCGTCGCATTATTTTGCAATAACCAACTCTTAATCTTTGCAATAACTGAGCCTTTTAGAGTACTTTCGTCACAATTTTTTGCCATTCCTGTACTTTTTAATGCATTTTCTTATTGCAAAAATGTGATACTTTTATCGCAAAATTTGCTTTAGTTTTTCTGACATTTTATTGTATTTATTATTGCAAAATATTTTGAAAAGTTTTATTTATGGCAAAATTTAGACTGTGGTTCTTTGAGTTTTAATACGGTGTACTGAGCCAAATGTTCTTGTTTTAATGTTGCAGGCCCCACCGTCACCAAGATGGGAGCAACCGACGGGACAGACCTGCACTTCGCCGCTGAAGCTGGCCAGGCAGACGCAGTCAAGCAGCTCATAGCGAAGGGCTGCAGCGTGGAGGCCGCTGCAGTAGACGGCCAGACTGCGCTTCACTTCGCCGCGCGAGGGGGACATCTTGACGTCGTCCGACTCCTCGTCGAAAAGGGGTGCGACATGCGGGCTGCTTCGAGGGACGGTCGGACTGCACTTCACTTGGCCTCTGAGAAAGGGAATCTCGGCGTGGTCCAGCTGCTTCTGGAGAAAGGGGGCGAGGTCGACGCGCCGACGAAAGCCGGGTGGACTTGCCTCCACTTCGCCGCTGAAAAGGGCCATCTTGGTGTAATGAGACTGCTCGTGGAAAAAGGGTGCAACTTGCAGGCTGCGACGAAGAGACGGCAGACTGCCCTGGGCCTGGCCGTGCGCCACGAGCACGTTGAGGCGGTCAGACTGCTGGTGGAAAGTGGCTGCGTGGTGCGGGCGGGGGCGAGGGACAGCCAGGCCGCACTTCACTTGGCTGTTGACTGTGGTGACGACGATTTGGCCATACTTCTAGTGGAGAAGGGTTGCGGCGTTTCGGACAAATGCGGCAAGGAGGCATTTCACTATGCGAGTCGCGATGGTGATATCAAGTTGGTGAAATTGCTGATAGATAAGGGGTGTGATATCATGGCGGCGGAAGGGGATGGTGAAACCGCTTTTCACATGGCCGTTCGATACCGCCGGACGGATGTGGCCAAGCTGCTGGTGGAAAGTGGATGCAACGTCCATGCGACGACACGGGACGGCCAAAATGCACTTCACGTCGCCGCTCAAAGAGGCCTTCTGGATGTCGCTGAACTGCTGATCGAAAAGGGAGTCGATGTGGAAGCCACTTCGAAACACGGAGAGACAGCGATCTACCTCGCTGCTCAAGGGGGCGCTCTCGACGTGGCCAAGCTGCTCATCGAAAAGGGGTGCGACTTGAACGCTGTGACAAAAGACGGCGAGACTGCAGTTCATCGTGCTGCCGGAGGGGATCACCTTGACGTAGTCAAACTGCTCCTAGAAAAAGGGTGCGACGTGAATGCAACCACGAAAGACGGCCGGACAGCTCTGCACTTTGCAACAGACGAGTGCAGCATAGAGGTCGTCCGACTACTCTTAGATCAAGGCTGCGATGCGGCCGTGGTGTCCGAAGAGGGTTTCACCGCGCTCCACCTTCCGCTTCGTTGGTGCTACGTCGATGATGAGAAAAGGCAACTGGTGCGGCTGCTCCTTGAAAAAGGCAGCGCCGATAATGTAGTTTCAGCGAAAGGCTGGACTCCTCTTCACTTTGCGTCCGAGTTTGGCGAGCTAGACCTCGTCAGCCTGCTCATCGAAAGGAAGTGTGACGTTTCTGCGACGGCTTTAGACGGAAAGACTGCCCTGCACTGTGCCGCTCGCAGTGGCCACGTTGAAGTGCTGAAGCTGCTTTTGGAGAAGGGGTGCGACGTGTCAGCGGCAACAGCAGACGGCCAGACAGCACTCCACGTTGCTATTCTCCACCACAGTCGAGAGGCAGCCAAGTTGCTCATAGAAAAGGGCTGCGACGTGAGAGCGAGGACGAAGGCCGGCCAGACTGCGCTTCACTGCGCTGCCACGGATGGCTGGAAGGAGGAAGTGAACATGCTCCTTGAAAGGGGCAGCGAACTGGAGGCGACCGCGGAAGGCTCCACTGCTCTCCTCTTGGCGTTAACTGGCGGCCACCTGAACGTGGCCAAACTTCTCGTGGAGAAGGGCAGCGACGTGAAGGTTGCATCGGAAGACGGCGAGACTCCGCTCCACTTTGCCGCAGACCAGGGCCACCTCGACTTGGCCGAACTGCTCGTGGAGAGAGGGTGCGACGTGGACGCGGCGGCAGGCGACGGCCGGACTGCCCTCCACTGCGCCGCGGAGCACCGCAGGCTGTCCGTGGTCCGCGTGCTCACGCAGGCAGGCTGCCGCGCGGACGCGGCCTCCAGGGACGGCCAGACGGCCCTCCACCTGGCGGCCGCCAAGGGCCACCTCGACACCGCCACTCTGCTCGCGGACCAGGGCTGCGACCTGGGGGCCGCCGACGAGCAGGGTCGCACTGCCCTCCACCGCGCTGCCGCCGAGGGCCACCTCGATGTGGCCAAGCTGCTCGCGGGGAGAGGGTGCGACGTGGACGCGGCGACGGAAGACGGTCGCACGGCTCTGCACCTTGCTGCCGGCAAAGGCCACCTGGAGATGCTCAAGCTGCTCATGGAGAGGGGCTGCGACGCGCGTGCGTCCGCAAAGGACGGGCAGACTGCTCTGCACGCGGCCTCCAGGAATCGCAGGGTTGCTGCGGTCAACCTGCTCCTGGAAAAGGGTCTCGACGTCGACGCTGCCGCCACGGACGGCAGGACCGCCCTCCACGTTGCCGCCGAGCGGGGCCTCCTTGACGTGGCCAAGGTCCTCGTCAGGAAGGGGTGCGACGTCGACGCGGCCGCGGAGGACGGACAGACCCCTCTCCATGTGGCCGCACTCAACAACTGCCGAGGCGTTGTCAAACTACTCATTGACAGTGGGTGCGACGTCAATGCGCAAACCAAAGACGGCCGCACTGCTCTCAACATGGCCATCTTGAACGGGCACTCGGCGGTGGCGAAGCTGCTCGTGCAAGCGGGGTGCGGTGTGGAGTCGAAGACTGAAGACGGCCGGACTGCCTTCCTGCTGGCCGCCTGCAAGGGCGACCTCGGCGTCCTCAAAGTGCTGCTGGACAGAGGGTGCGACTCCAGGGCGGTGGCCGCGCGCGGCGAGACCGCCCTGCACTGGGCCTGTGCGAGCGGCAGGCTGGACGCGGTCAAGCTGGTCCTGAGGCGGGGCTGCGACGTGGACGCGGCCACTGCAGACGGCGAGACCGCTCTGCACTGGGCCTGTGCGAATGGCAGGCCTGCCATCGTCAGGCGCGTCTTGAAGAGGCGCTGCGACGTCAACGCGGCGACGGCCGACGGCCGGACGGCTGTGCACTTCGCCGCGCAGAAAGGCCACCTCGGAGTGGTGAAGCTGCTCATGGAACAGGGGTGCGACGTGGGGGCCAAGACGAGAGGCGGTGACACTGCACTCAGCTTTGCCTCTGAGAATGGCAATCTAGCGATAATTAGTCTACTCACAGGAAATAAATGTGATTTGTCTGCTGAAGCAAGCTAGAAATAAAGCAGATTTCTATTCGTTTCTTGTTCTGTGATTTTGAAATGCACTTGAATTATGCGAAGCCAGGGTGAAATTATCTTTTTTTGGTAGTCTCGCGAGGAATCCGTCTCAGTAGTCATTTCTTCCGAATACTTAGTTTGTTCCTTATGGCCTTGATTGGCATGCACAATTGACTATGGCAAGCGCGCAAAGATTCTTTAGTTTGACCGAAATTTCTGTATGCATACATGAAAAGATTCGCCACAGCATGGAAAAGCAAACGTTTCCTTAATCATGACGAACAAATCCCGGCTAGCCGAACTCTGCACTAAGAAAACCTTACAAACTACTTTAGGGCTTAGAAAAGCACCTTGTAACAAAGTATTTTGAGCAGACGCTTACAAAGAATATATTTCGTAATTTACGAACTATTTCTTCGTATACACTGTAAAAATTAACATCCGGAATAAACGACGGATCCTTCGGCAAAAAAATTGCCAACAGTTCCTTCGTTAATTTACGAAGCTCTTCGTATATTTACAAAAACCTTCGTTATTTTTTTGAAAGATCTCTGCTGATTTTCCAATCACAATGGAAATTTACGAAGCACCTTCGTACATCTACAAAGATCCTTCGTAAATTTACAGGGAACCTTCGTTTATAAACAAAGAAACTTCGTTAATAATCAGAGATTCTTCGTAATTATACGTCTGGAATTAACGACGGATCCTTCGGCAAAAAAATTGCCAACACTTCCTTCGTTTATTTACGAAGGTCCGCCGTAGATTTACGAAGACCCGTCGTAGATTAACGAAGCCCGTCGTAAATTTACGAAGCCCTTCGTAAATTTACAACGGATTTTGTAAATTTACGATTTTTCTTCGTAAATTTACAAAGAACCTTCATAAATTAACGACGAACCTTCGTTGATTTACAAAAGTTCCTGTAGGAAAGAAACATTTACAGTGCACTTTTGGACATTCCCAAAAACCCTTCGGAATATATTCCGTCGTAAATTCACAATATATTTTTTACAGTGTAACAAAGGAAATAAGTTTGTGTGATGTATGCTCAAAATATACTTCGTAAGGCTTTAACAGTGGGAGGGAATGACCTGGACCGATGAAAACGATGCCTTTTTATCGGTAGAATTTTAGAATTAACCGAATTCGCCACGAGAGGAGCTAAACGCGACGATTTTGCGGGGACACCATTGCTACGAGTGTGAACGAATGGGGAGACCATGGCGAGATGGAGCAAGCGCCTGCGAGCACGCCGTGAATTGCATAACAGCAAACATTGATAATAAATTAACGGCGTTGACAGGACATTTTTTGTGGAGTGTAAGATCGCACACAAATGTGTCGTTATGTTACGTACACGAGATTTAAGCGAAGATATTTCATAGGGTTTTGGAAGATTTCAACTGATTTTCCGACCAAAATTTGTTTGTTTTTTTTTTTCGTTTTTTGGGGGCAGATTTCGGATTTCCCGATATTTCGGGCACTCAAGTAAGACACAGGATTTCTCGAGCACAGTAAAGACTCTACGAAGAATCACTTCGTAATACGAAGAAATTGCTCGTATTATAAAGCAAAATCCTTCGTAAAACGAAGCATTCTACAATCCCTTCATTTTCATCGTAGTTATGAAGCAAATCCTTTGTAGGCTTTTATGAGTGAGTGAATGCCCCCTCGATTTCTTTTGCTTTGGGACGGAGTCTGCCATTTTAATTTGGTGTGTAGTTCAACGCCATAGGCGTGCGTGACATCACCCAGACATAGGTGACATGTGCTATTCCACTTAGAAGGTAGCAAAAAAAAAAAAATTCACTGATAAGACAAGCAACATCCACCACCCACGGCGTGCAGAGCAAGGCCTTAAAAGGCATTAATCGAGTGTGGCGGAGCCGTCTTCCTTCTGTTTCTCACTCTCCATCTGATTTCCCGATTCTGAGGGCCCAGCGCTCGCATAGCTGTAGCTGTCCTGCTCCTGCTGCCTTGGATTGGAGGGCAATTTTCGGAGAAACACCTCACTCCTTCGCTCTCGGGCCACAATGGCTCCGAGTGGCAACGCGCATCAACTCGGACGCGCCTGGTCGCCCCACCACTCGCTTCGTCCGCGCGACCTTGGTGGGCAGGGGGCCGAGGGGGCGAAGGGAAGGGGGAGAGGGAGATACTCAGCGTGGGCATTACCGTGGTGTTGCTACGCCGGCCAAAACATATGGAGACGCACCGTGCGAACCAAGTGCCCCTTCGGAAGTGAAGTAAGTAGTGACATAGCTCCGTGCACGCTTTCGGGTCATCCAGCCTAGTGTTTCATGGAGTGCGCTTGGTTCATCGACACTAGGTGGCGCGGACTCAGCACTCCCTCAGCGGCGGCTGACTCGGCGTGCCGGCACCGGCCTAGCGCACGCTTGCCGCCCGGCGCGGAGCGGACCGCTCAGTACTCAGTAGACCAGCGACCATGCCGGCGGACGGTCTATCCGCGCTGCTCGACGTGGCCCAGCAGGCCCTCGTGCGTGTGGCCGCCGACGAGGGATTCAACGACCCACAGTGAGTCGGATTTACTGTTTGCCCTGAATTTCAAAAGTGACGTTGTGTCTTGTTCCTTGGAATACAATGTCAAATTTGTTTCCATGCTACGTTCCGACGAGTTGACATCCAAGAGAGGTCGTGCTACGTTCAAACTTATGTGACATCGTACTCCAATGAACGTGTCACTATTGACACTCAAACGAACGTGACATTCGTACAAAACCAGTGGGCTTTTCCTGGTCCCAACGTCAAAGGCGTTGAAGAGTAATAAGTTATCCGTGTCGAGCGTGCGTAAAATTTCGCCCCTGTTCAAATTTGGAAAATAATAAAAGTTACGCCAGGCCATTTTTTCAGCAGCTTTTCTGCCCTAGGGGACAGGGGACATCCGTCTCTTTTCAATCCTCAGTTTAAGGTGAAATAGGAAAATAGTCTCAGCCTTTTACTGACTATTTCTCAGTAGCAGACGCATTTCTGTAAGTATCATGGTTTAAAAATTTATTTGTAAGAAAACGGCAATATCAGTTCAGTAATAAGCAATTGCTAAGTAGTGCGGACAAAAATTACTATGTATTATGGTTGCTTACAGAAATGCGTCTGCTAATGAGAATAAGTCAGTAAAAGGCTGAGAGTGAATTCATTTACAAATAGATGTTTGTTCTGCCCTGTAAGAAACAAATTGTAAATTGACGAAGGTGCCTGAGGCCAAAATATTGCCACAGGTTTCTTTATAAATTCACGATAGTTGGACCGAAAATCTTCGGCAATTACCAATAACGGCAATGTCCAATCGTCCACACTACAAACCTAACTGTCCACTAAGTACACACTTACAAATGCATGCTTGCAAGTACACACTTACAAACGCATGCTTGACACATAGTTATACGGCGTCAAGCATGCGTTTGTAAGTGTGTACTTGCGAGCACGCATGTAAGTGTGTACTTGGCCAAGCATGCGTTTGTAAGTGTGTACTTGCAAGCATGCGTTTGTAAGTGTGTACTTGGTAGGCAGTTAGGTTTGCAGTGCAGGTTGAGCAGAAAATAGATTCGGAGTACAAGTGAATTTTTGCTTCAGCAAACATCGTTGTTGATTCATTATTTCACGGTGTTTGCAAGCCCGCTCTCAGAGAGTTGTCCCCTCCACCTAGCCGGTGCGTTTCCGGCTAGCAGTTGGAGCAATGATGAGCACGCTTCGTCTGTTGAAGCGACGAGTGCCGGACCGTCACTCTACATTGTACGCATCACGAACCATTCAGTGCAAATCTTGCGAAGAATGGAGAACGTCACTCCAAATGGGAGGTTTTCGTAAAATGGTCAGTAAAAATGGACACATTCAACGCGTAGTGTGCAGTTGGTTGGGCTTGGTTTCACGCTCAGTCTCGTATTGACTTTTTATCTCTTGCCATAAAGTGTTTTGTGCAAACGTAATGTGTAAGTACAAATAGTACTATGTTCTCTTTAGCTGTGCACTATTTTGTTAATTGTATAGTGTATTTAGTCCATTGAACCTTACTTTTTGTCATTTGCTATATGTACATATATGTACTTTTCAATTTCTACATGATCTATATTGACAATTTTATCATTTTAACGTTCAAAAATGTGCATATTTAAGGAGAAAATAGTACATTTTACGTTTGATCCAAAAACGTTATACACTGCCAATCCAAGTGTGAGACAGTCTCACACCATTAAGTCCGAACCTCGATGTCTCACGCTTACAAGTGTGAGCCACGTGTGTCCCACGCTTGCAAGTGTGAGACACGGTATGTCTCACACTTGCAAGCGTGAGACACGGTTTGTCTCACACTTACCAGCGTGGATCCTTTGGCATTAAACCACAGGGAACCATAGGCAGTAAGAGTGGGACAAACCGTGTCTCACACTTGTAAGTGTGAGACAAATGATGTCTCACACTTGTAAGCGTGAGACGGCGTGAGACATCGTTGTTCGCACTTACTAGTGTGAGACTGTCTTACACTTGGATTGGCAGTGTAAGCAAGAGGAGAAAAAAGTCCATATAGGTCTGAGAGTGTTGCTTTACGATCACCCTCTAAAGCAGATAGATTCTTCTCTCAGAAAGAACCGACCTTTCGCCGTATTCCACATGAATCACATCGAGCTCGAGGAAAAGCTATGAAACTTGAATTTTTCTGAACCAAGGGTCAAAATTTATAGGACTACCGAGAATGCGTTAGGCTGGACGTCATGCCAGGGGCACGCATCGATCGTCGTCGCCCTGGTGATTGCCTCGCCGGCGGAGCCTGGCCTTGGCCAAGGGGTGGTTGTGGCCAGGCAAGGCGACGGGCCGAAGGGGGTGGGAAACCGGTTCTAACGTTTTGTATCCATTGACGCCATACTCATAGCGTTTGGATTCTCAGTGAAGGATATCACAAACACTCTCAGACTCGTACTCACTTTTCTATAATAACGTGTAGACGATTGTGCTCATTAATACGCACATTAACATTTTTATTTGTTTTGTCTTGACAAATCTGTTCAGCGTCTTAACGAAATCCTATTAATGTGCACAATCGTCAATGAATACTAATAAGATGCCAATTGAAGGATGAGAGTGAAAACGAGGGGATAGTAACTGGTGTACTAAGGTGGAATACAAATTGACTGATAGGCCTACTCAGTGTACTTGCTGGTTTTAAAAAATCAAACTTTTTAAATATTTTTTTGTTACGATTTGACTATTGCGTTGAAATGAATGTGACGAAATGTCACGTTTCTTTGAGCATTCAGTCACATTCGTTCGGACGTTAATCAGCCATAAATTTAGCTTATTCACGTTGAAACGGAAGTGATGCAATGCTCAAGGAAACGTGACATTTTGTCATATTGTTTTAACGTGATGATACGTTCCTGGAATGAGAGTGTGCTGTCTCAAGTGGCACCAATTTAAAGTAGCCGTCATTATTTAATCTATAGTAAAAATGATGAAAATAGTGGGAACTTGGTACGAATCTTTCCACTTTTAACCGACAACTCATAGCAAGTGTTGCAAACGATTGTACCTTTCGTAACGGCATATTCGTGTCGTTAGATCCACAAATTTGTTCATCGGTGTCATTTTATGTTTTTATAAATTCCAGATTTGAGGTGGAGTCTGGGTCTGGAGCGAGGGATGGCTTCACCAGTACGCTCTCCAGGATCATCGTGCGAGAAAAGGTACCGGGAATGCCAACACATTCTGAACAGACGCAACAAACCTTAACATTCACAAATACAGGAGTTTTATGTAGCTATGGCTGTTAAACTGTGCACGCGTTCCAAAATGCACGAATTTGTGCGCATCTACGCACCAAAAAAATGCGTAGTCGCGCATGAAATTCGTGCATTTTGAAACGCATGCACAGTTTCGTGCGTAGCTTATGCACCAAAAAGCCATATAGTAATTTAGTGTGTTCAAACAGGATGGTTTGAAGTCTGCACCCATCAGAACGTAATGGCTGTAATGACAGCACTTAATTTGACTTAACGCAGGCACACTGAAATCTTGCGTATTTTTTATGCATTTCTGTGCATGCACGCACTGATCGAAGTTAAAAGAGTTTTGCGCTATGTGTCATTGTGGGCACAGTGCATTCGGTAAAATCTACTTATAGCATATTCGATGAAGTATTCAGAAGCGTGTCAATACATGCGCCGTTTTGTCCATTTCCTCGAAAAGGAATCCCTTCCCTCACTGACTGCCATGAGGGTCTTTTCCAGTGACAAGTCTGTTCGTATTCCAGGACGGTAGCAATGTAACTGAAGCCTGATATGCAAGACTTCCCTGGATGCATTCGGAGGCCTTATGTCTTGGCGTCTTGAACGCCGATTCCTTCGCAAGTGCACCGTTCCCAGGGTCCGAACACCTTTTTGGAAACAATGGAGAGTGGCATTAGGTTTAACAGCCCCATCTTCATATTTCTCCCAGTGTACTAAGCAGTTTTTTTTGTGCATAAGCTATGCACGAAACTGTGCACGCGTTCCAAAATGCACGAATTTGTGCGCATCTACGCACCAAAAAAATGCGTAGTCGCGCATGAAATTCGTGCATTTTGAAACGCATGCACAGTTTCGTGCGTAGCTTATGCACCAAAAAGCCATATAGTAATTTAGTGTGTTCAAACAGGATGGTTTGAAGTCTGCACCCATCAGAACGTAATGGCTGTAATGACAGCACTTAATTTGACTTAACGCAGGCACACTGAAATCTTGCGTATTTTTTATGCATTTCTGTGCATGCACGCACATGTTACGTTCGTAAGCTGTGAGTTTTGCGCTATGTGTCATTGTGGGCACAGTGCTCTGGCGTAATAATTTACACATCATAGCATATTCGATGAAGTATTCAGAAGCGTGTCTCAATACATGCGCCGTTTTGTCCATTTCCTCGAAAAGGAATCCCTTCCCTCACTGACTGCCATGAGGGTCTTTTCCAGTGACAAGCTCTGTTTCGTATTCCAGGACGGTAGCAAGGAACTGAGCCTGATATGCAAGACTTCCCTGGATGCATTCGGAGGCCTTATGTCTTGGCTCTTCACGACCGAGTGCTACATGTACAGCACCGTCCTGCCAGCCTTGGAGGATGTTGCCACCCTGGAGGAACCGTTGCCATGGCCCAAGTAAGTAGGACTTTCACTCCTGTACACCAAAGCGACGCGCTTTTAAAATCATGCACCGAGCTCCATTATTGCCGCGGCAAGTGCATTTTTGTTTACTTTTGAGATGGGCGTGGAAGTCCTCGAGGTGGGAAGGAGCTGGATGTTGAATGCTGAATCTGTGCGATGACACTAATTGAAAAGACTTGGTCCTTGGTCAACCGGAACAGGGCTTTCCTGCTGCATGGCCTGCTGCGTTAGTATTTTGGAGAAAATCTTCACCATAATTTGGTGGTGCAGCCGGGTGCAGCCGGGTGCAGCCTTCTCACCGTAAGACATGTAGAGTATACGTACCCTACCCTGTACACTTTTCCCCAAGGAGTGACAAGAAAAACAAGAAAAGGAGCATATTTTTGGCTAGCGATAGCGAAGCCTGGTACTCCATGGGTTGAAAAGTTTTGTCTGTCTGTCTGTCGGTCTGTCTGTGTGTCTGTGTGTCTTGTGTCGTGTGTCCGCACTACTGCCTCTGAACGACCGGCGACTCATTCAGATCTTTGCCACTTTGGGATGCTTGCCCGGAGAACCGTTGCCATGGCCCAAGTAAGTAGGATTTCATTCCTGTAGCAAACACGCATTACGGCGAAAAATGCAGATTCCAATATTGCCGCGGCAAGTGCTTTTGTTTACTTTTGAGATGGGCGTGGAAGTCCTCGAGGTGGGAAGGAGCTGGATGTTGAATGCTGAATCTGGTATGACACTAATTAAAAACTTGGTCCTTGGTCAACCGGAACAGGGCTTTCCTGCGCATGGCCTGCTGCGTTAGTATTTTGGAGAAAATCTTCACCATATTTGGCTGCCAGCCGGGTGCAGCCGGGGCACCTTCTCCGTAAGACATGTAGAGTATACGTACCCTACCGTACACTTTCCCAAGCGAGTGACAGAAAAACAAGAAAAGGTAACTACTTGTAACTGTGGCGACGTCTGCCACAGTGCCCGATGAGGCAACACTTCAGACTTTGGGCGTCGAATGGTTGCCTAACCGCCGGGCGCTCCCTGCGCTGAGGCTGCATGCCCTTCTCACAAGCTCTCAGCGAGAGCGCCCCGCAGAGCTGACTTTTGCTGCCATCATGGTAAGCAACGCGCTGCAACGCTTTATTGGCTGAGCGATAGCGAAGCCTGTTACTCCAGTGGGGTTGAAAAGTTTTTCCTGTCTGTCTGTCTGTCTGTCTGTCCGTCTGTCTGTCTGTGTGTCCGCACTACTCCTCCTGAACGGCTCGGCCGATCTCGGTGAGATTTTGCACACCTCTTGGGTATGTCCTTGGCTCGGCACACGCGAAATTTCACCATCCTAGCTCAACTGGTTCAGTTTTTATAGGCGAAAAACACCCAAAAAAACGGCGAAAAATAGAGATTTCTGCAGATAGACCACTTCTGTCTTGGAGAAAGGGGGTTCGGAGCCCACCTCGACAAGTTAAAAAGTGACAAGGGTCAAGATCGTGTATCTGTAGATAAAACAACTCTATTTACAATGTAGGGGGGTCTGGGGGGCGGAGCCCCCAGCATTCAACAGTTAAAAAATAACCGACAACGGACAAGCCATTGCCTGCCGCAGGCAGGCTAGCGCCGCAGGCCAAGGTAGGTACGCCAGGCGTGGATTGGAGGAACAGGCAGCGAGACATCGCGAAGCCTGTTACGACAAGACACGGTCTGGCGTAAACCTACCTTGTATTACTGGATTTCACAGACTGAAAAGTTCATAGTAGCGAAAGGACCAATAATTTTATGTTTGTCTAAATTAGCCTACCCGCGTACTTTAATTGCGAAAATTAATTAAAAGATGAAAACGGAGTTAGAGAGAGAACCCGCAAGCGGTAAATTTAGTATCACCTTGGATTTTAATCGAGGGGCAACTTTCTTTTTGGTGTTATGATACACAAGATTTCTGAAGAGAAACCAATTTCGTCGCTTTTCGTAGCCTTTTTTAACGCTCACATTTGCCTGGTTTTGGTCTGTATGGGAAAAGATTTGGAATTTCATGAATTTCAGGCGCTTGAAGAGACACAGGGTTGCGAGGGGTCATTTTCAAGAGATCCTAGCCAGTGCCGGATAAACTGAACTCAATTTCGCACGTGGTCGCCCCTCGTGTAAATTTTGTCAGAATGTCTGAAACATGTTTGAAACCCTATTCAAAATTCTCGCACCTCTGAAAAGTGAAATTCTGAAACGTTATGCTCAAACTGATGGCCTGAGTTGTGCGGAAGGTCAGAAAAAGTTTTCAGCTTTCAGAGGTGCGCGACTTTTGATCAGGTTTTCAGGCAGGTGTCTGACGTTCTGACAAGATTTGAACGAGTGCCAGTTCGCACTACGAACTCTCAATACATTTAGAGTGTGCGCGCTGTAACCCGTCCAAGTTATGGATGTGAAGCCACCCCAAGGCTGCTAGTTGGAACCCCTAACTTGGAACTTGAAACGCTGTCTTGCAGGTGCTACCACGCCTTCTCTGACGGAGACAAGCCGCCCTACTGCATGGTCCTGGGCGACCTGCGTCCCGACGGATTCGCCACGTGCCCGCGGCGCGACGCGCTGGACGCGGCACAGTGCAAGCAGGTGCTGAGGCAGATTGGCCGCTTCCACGGCGCCGGCCTCGCCCTCAAGCACCTGCGCCCCGAGGCGTTCCAGAGCATGCGGCAGTGGCGCCACATCGCGGGCAACACCTACGACACGCCCGAGATGAGGACCCTGATGGCCCCCTTTCAGGCCGCAATTGCCAAGTGCAAGATCTCAGGTGACCGTCTGGATCCCCTTCACTGAGAATGAAAGAGTCATAATCATGACTAAAGTATTGGGTGAGGAATTATTCTTTATCACCATGGTCCTGACCCAATTTGGGTCATAATACTTTGGGGCCATATAGGTAGGTGGTACACCCTTCCTCACCCAAATTTGGGCGAGGAAAGTTTCCTCGCTCAACAAAATTGGGCATCGATCAAGACTTTTTCATTCTCAGTGCTTTTCTCACTTCATCTCAGGCGTGAGAGCACAATCGAAATGTATTTCCTCAATTTGGTACTTGCTCTGACACAATTTGAAACCTGCGGAATTCTTCGTGCGAATTTGTACGGGGATCCACTGAAAATTGAATGGTCGGACACATGGTTAAATTATGGCGTGATAAAAAGTCATGCCAAAAAGTTGGGGTGACAGGAAATTCACGCCGAAAAACGGCATGACGTGTGTGCGTCACGCCGGCATCTGGCGTGAATGTACCATGTGGATTAAGTTTTCTGAGAAGAGTCATGCCAAAAACCGGCAGGACGGGAAACTCGCGCCAAAACTGCGCGAATTTCTGAGCCACGCTGATTTTTGGCATGACATTTTTAGCATGCCGTTTCCTGGTTCTCCCCGGTAGCCTATGGAAAAGACATAGGCAATTTCCAGGGAGTTCGTGGCAAAACCAGGAACCATTTTTGCCGCGAACATGTGTCACTGCGCTCAGGATTCTACCTTGATTCTGCCCGTTCACAATTTAAGTTTATACCACGGGTTTTCGTCATCTGAAAATAGATCTTAAATCGGTAAAACTTTTGTTTTTAACAGAACAACTTGCCGAGCGATTTCCTAGTGGAGACACCCTGGCGGCTCTCGACAAGATCTTCTCCATGTACGCGGAGGATCTGTTATCTGTGATGTGCCCCGGTGCAGAGGAAGGAAGCACCATCATCCACAGTGACTGCCACACCATGAACGTCCTGTTTCAATATAGTGGGGTGAGACCCTTTGCAAAACGTCCTCGTGATACACTGGAAGTTTTGTCTGAAACTTAAACGACTGCGAAGCTTGTTTTCTTATGGAAATACTCGGTGTGTGTTCAGACCAGTCGCTGACATGTTGCCATGGGCGTGCTATGAGCATAAGGGCTCTGATGAAAATATCATAACGTGAGATGACCTAATCATCATTTTCAAATAACTCGCTACGAATCCAAGTGTCAGAGTCTCACACTGCCGTGAGGCGGAATATCTCATACTATTTTTCGTGAGCACAAATGTCTCACACTATTTGGCTTAGCCAAAATGTCTCACGCTAACAAGTGTAAGCCTCGATCGTCCCACGCTTGCAAATGGGATACGCGGTTTGTACTGACACTTGCCAGTGTCTAACCCGGTCTAACCCAGTTCGCACTTGCACTTGTACGTCAGACATTTTGATTCACGCCACAAAGTGTTAGCCTGTCTCACTCCTGGACTTGCAGTGTGAAGTAAAGGCAAAGTTTAACAGTGAACTCGCAGCGCGTTTTGTGGCTGTGCAGGACTCCGTGACGGGTTGCCGCCTGATAGACTTCCAGACGGCGCGCTACGGCTGCCCGGCACTGGACCTCAGCACCATGATCGTAGCCACCACCGAGAGGGCCACGCGCGAGAAGCACTGGACCGACCTTATGCAGGGGTACCACCAGCAGCTCCAGGACACGCTCAGGGCGGCGGGTGTGAAGGAACCGGACGATGTTTATTCGTGGCAACTTTTCCAGGTACTGTGCACGTACTTGTCAAGTACACACCAGATCTTCTAGTGTTGTAACGAGATGACATGACTCATTTCCATTTTCAGGCCAATCTCCGCAGCGCAGCCCCCTACTCCCTGGTCTGCGCCACGATCTCGCTCAGCATATTCTACGGTGACAAGCGGGACGAGCATCTGGACCGAGTTAAAGAGGCGATCGAAGACATGAACAAGACGGACAAGGAGGTGCCAGAGGTCTCCATCTCTCTCTCGGCAGCCGGGCTGCAGCGCCTGGGCGACCTCATCGAGGACCTGGTGTCCTATGGCTTGATGCCGTCCGTGGCTGATGTGGAGGCGGCAGCGAACCGCTGTGCCCAGTTTCGAAAAAGGCAATCGCAAAAGCAATAAATTTTCCGGCTCAGGATGATTTCTGTTTTCTCAACACGCACGAAATACGCAGGTCATATGCCACCTGTACCTGGACCTGTAATTTTTTCGTTCCTAAAAATGGTCCTTACATCCGAAGTTCCTACCACTGGTGAAGAAATCATGGATGAGCCATGGTTGCCACAGGGCTTAAGAAAGACGGCATTGTGTGAGAGAACGGGGCGGTTAGATACCGTTTTTTGGAAGCTTTTCACTTGTCCGGAAGTGTGGCTTTGAATCGTCTCAAAACTAAAACGAAAGGCATATGTCACAGTGTTGGATCTTAAAGTAGGGATTTTTTTTTGTCCGCTTGGATGGCCATCAACGTGACGCTGTGCTGGGCTTACGGCTATTTAGGAGGTACCTTCTTGTATCAGAAAAGAAAAGAACAACATTCAATCAAATAAAAACTGTAAAAAACTAAATATTTATTGATAAAAACGAGGTTTTTTGCAGCTTGGGTCCGAGGTAATAGCGCCTTGTCAATTTGAGCATCCGGTGGACCTGAAATAGACACGAATCACTGATTTAGAAGGCGTAGCCAGTAGAAATTTATTTTGTATTTACAAAGATCACTAATTTGGGATATATTTTTAGACATGCAAATGCGCAAGCCTCTGAAAGTCACTTCGTTTTAGATAACTAACTAAAACTAAAACTAGTTCTAAACAATTTAAAATAGTCTGGCACCGTTGATTTCACGCCAAAGCTTCTTTAACGTAAGTCATGCACTGGTTTGCACCTACGTGAGTTTCTGCATGACGCATGATTCATAACAACGCATGTGCAAAATAATGCATGCCTTACGCTCTAAAAAGTGCATCTGGATTTAGCGTAAAATCAACAGTGCCTGTACGTTTTAAGGTTACTGTAAAGTGAAAAAATGTGAAATATCATTTTCCAAAATAATTGTGGCATCATGTTTGTATTTAGGTTTCAGGCTGCTTACTATAAGATGAACTTAAACCCAAAGTTGAGGCACTCAACTCCCATTATTTTCTGAGTTATTGCAGTTTACGTAACAAATTTAGTCGTTTACTAAAAATTCTCCTTGCGATGAACCAAAAGTTGTCGAGACTTGATTTTTGTTTTACAAGTTCTTTATTGATTTGCCTATCTCGTAGCAAAGCCGGATTTCCAAAATTCCAACATGAAACAGGAATTTTTATCAAAAAACTCAAAAAAATACCAAAATTTTACCAAATTTAAGTAAAAAATTCAAAACGCATTTTCCAAACAGTAATTACAGCTTATCTATGCATATATTGTCAAATCCGGCTTTGCTAGTCTGTTTGCATGTCCATTAAGCCTTAAAATAAAAAGTCACACCTCCGTAAACTTTTTGGTTCATCGCAAGGAGAATTTTTAGTAAACGACTAAAATAACACTAAAACCCTCATAACTTTGGAACTAATGGGAGTTGGGAGTCCAGTCTGTGGCTGTAAAAGTTTTTTATAGTAAGCAACTAAATCACCAAAAACCAAAGCACTGCCACCTATACTTTGGAAGATAGTTTTTTCACCTTACAGTAACCTTAAATTGGATCTTAAATTAAGGTTATTTTGTAAGGTTATATTTTAAATTTGTTTAACTAATTGACTTTTTCAGGTTTGCGCATTAGCATTTAGCGTGTTGATACTATGAAAGCTGCATTTTTTTCTCACCTCACCTTACTGGACGTTCACGGTCTCCTTGTTCCCTAAGAAAGACGTCTGCGTTCAGAGTTTTTCTCCAGTTGGCTGGATTGTGAGCTCGGTGATCTGCAACACAATAGGAATTTAATTCACTGAACGAAATCAAAGACAATAACAACTTATTGTAACGAAGAAGAAGATACGTCACCTCAACTGAAGGGGGGCAGGACAGAGCGTACATGACGGCGTTAGACACGTCTTTCGTGTCGAGTATGCAGTCCGCTGCCATCATGCTCTTTGCGTGTTGCTCCGGCACCATGTCAGTCAGGACGGTTCCAGGGCTGAGACTCTGAAAAAGAAAAGACAATGTCCATTGGTACGTTCCACATTATTAAATTTTGTCACTGTAATCAGTAATTCCAATCCCAATTAAATGCCCCTTTTTTGGCCCGCCCTTCTATTCAAAAAATAGGGGGAGGGCCTATGCATTTGCCTTTGTGTCTGTGTGTTGTTGTTGTTGTTGTTGTTGTTGGCGTCTGTGTACAAGGAAGGAGTTGAGCTAGAGTAACCAGATTTGGAGGGTACTTCAGGAGTACCGTCCAAACAAATAATCCGGTGGTGCAAATCCCGTCCGGGTCGCACAAGGGCTGCTGCAGGTGCATCATGGTTTACATGAGCGGGAGGGGGATTTCCGCCATTATTGGTGCTAGCAGGGCACATAGGGGTATTTTTGGAATCGGGGCGACGAGGCAAGATGAATGGACCTGGTCCCGACCCCATCGGCCGCTTTTACAAGTTGGCCAGATCAGGATCTTCAAAAAAGGGGGTCGACCGACTAAAAAAATTTATTGCAGATTTCGATTGGTCTCAGCAAGACCTTTTCAACGAGGGGTCGGAAAGGGGGTCCAGGAGCCCGACTTCGTCCATTAGTCACATCAGGATCTTCAAAAAGGGGGTCGACCGACTAAAAAAATTTATTGCAGATTTCGATTGGTCTCAGCAAGACCTTTTCAACGAGGGGTCGGAAAGGGGGTCCAGGAGCCCGACTTCGTCCATTAGTCACATCAGGATCTTCAAAAAAAGGGGGTCGACCGACTAAAAAAATTTATTGCAGATTTCGATTGGTCTCAGCAAGACCTTTTCAACGAGGGGTCGGAAAGGGGGTCCAGGAGCCCGACTTCGTCTATTAGTCACATCAGGATCTTCAAAAAAGGGGGTCGACCGACTAAAAAAATTTATTGCAGATTTCGATTGGTCTCAGCAAGACCTTTTCAACGAGGGGTCGGAAAGGGGGTGCAGGAGCCCGACTTCGTCTATTAGTCACATCAGGATCTTCAAAAAAGGGGGTCGACCGACTAAAAAAATTTATTGCAGATTTCGATTGGTCTCAGCAAGACCTCTTCAACGAGGGGTCGGAAGGGGGGTCCAGGAGCCCGCCTTCAAGAGTTATGGGAAAAAGTGCGACGGACTCGTTTTGCGCTCCTGCTGAGCCTCTATTGCAAGGAGTTGCAGTAGCATGGCAAATATGGGTATTTTCGAAATGAGGGTGAAGAGACAAATGAAATGGGCATATTCTAAGGACAGTTGGAGTAAAAAGTGTAAGGACTATTGCATATTGTGAATAGAAGGGCGGGCCTAAGTCACGATGGTACATCGATAACTTTGCTTTACCCGCTCACGGTGTGTGTGATGCGAGCGGGCCGAAGGCCCGGGCCTTCGACTGGCCAAGTTGGGTCTGATGCGAGGGCCGAAGGCCCGAGAAAAGGCCGCCGGCAGGCCAAGCTGGGCCGGCCCCCTGTCGAACCGAGTTGCCGGCGCAGCGAAGCGGAGCTGGCAACTCGGTTCGACGGAAGGGCGGGCCCTAGCTTGTTCTTTTTGCCGTTGTGTGCGTTGCAATAAGACTGCCGGTACGAAAAATGGGGTACGGACATATTACGGACCTTCCGTACTGCTTCTCCGATGCATCTAAGCATGCATACCCAAGTATCTTATGTAAATGAGCACAGAAATCATGCACGAAACCGACCACCGTACACTCTAAATGTCTTACAATGAAATTTGACCTATATAATTCGTATGTTACAGTGAATTCGGCGCAAGCATAATACGAAGCAACATTCCTTCGTAATACGAATCTTTTTAGCTTTTTCGTTGTAAGATACAAAAAAAACCTTCGTAATACGAAGAAAAACCACCTTCGCATTATGCTTGCGCCATTTCCTTCGTAATATGGGAAATTTCTTCGTAAGACATTTAGAGCGCAGGCAACTTATTGACCAGACGTGTTCCGTACTCTTCCCGTAGGTTTCTTTTACCAGTGCAGGGTTCATCAGGGAGACGTACTACGCTTTATTTTTTTTCTTTAAAAGACGTCTGGCTGCTTTTTCTATTTACTTCAAGTTTAAAGTCATCTGCATTGTAAATTTGTGAAGGTTTTTGCGTTCAATGCCTCCCGTTCATTGGAATAACTTTGTATACCATTCATTGAGGGAAACTTTTGTTGTCATTGCAAAGCAAAAGTCGGCTCGATTTGGCCCAGGCGGACCGGTGCAATAGTAAGAATGGCACTAATCTGGGAAAGGGGTCCCCGGAATGCACTCGGGAATTTTTGAGCTGCGAACGCAATCTGCAGTGCGGTTCAAATAGCTCTTTCATTTTTAATATCCTCAATCCGCAAAGAAATTTTCAAAAAATTTGAAAGCATTATACAGCTTTACAGCAATGCCTTGGAACAGATCGTCAGTACCCATCCTGACAGCGCAATGACGTAGGAATGCAGAGGCCTAATCGGTTGGAAAATAACCTTTTTACGGATAGGATAGGGAATGGGACATGGTTCCAGTGTCACTCGTTGTTAACACGCTCTAATATCGAGGGGTCCTATTCAAATGATCTTATCTGGGCGTTCTCCCAAGACAATCTTATCTTAAACGCAGGCGAATTCCACTCAGTTTGATCATTTGGGACGGTTACGAGAGTGAGTGGAATATATTTCTATAGGCAGTATTAGTTTCTTTGATCTATCATGTTCAAGTTTCAGTGAATTCAATCACAAATGATATGGTTTTGTAGCTGTATCAAATGATCAAACTGAGTGAAATTTGCGTGTGTTTAAGATAAGATTCTCTTGGGGAGAACGCCCAGATAAGATCTTTTGAAAAGGACCCCTCGATATACTCAAAAATAAATACAAAAACATAACAAATATGACGCTTTACCGTCACGCGAATTTTGAAACCAGGGATCAGTTGTACGTCAAACCGAAGCGCCTTGCTCATGGCTGTGATGGCATGCTTCGTCGACGTGTAGGCGGAGACCGGCGTTGGGTGGCCCAGCACCATGTGCCCGGTCACACTGTAAACAAACTTGATTGCAGGGATATTGTTTGGCAAACAGAGGCAGGGCAGAGCACTCAACGAATCTGACGTCACATTCGTCAAATAGGAGTAGTTGCCAAAATTCGGAACACTTTTGAAGGCCATAAAACTGCAGGAAAAAGTGGTGGAAAATCGTTTTTTATTTTGCCATCATATTTAGTGATGTCCCACGACTTATGTCTGAACGTGGTCGCTACCGGTGCAATATTCCTGAAAGGCCCCTATCAAAAGTAAAGAGGAAAGACACGGAGCGTTACATTTTCCGTTCAAACAGCACTAGTATTCTCATGCTGTGAATTGAATCGCGCCTTCCGGTGTGAGCACGTGTTTTAAGATTCTTGATCATTTTTGGTCTACAACTTGCCCGGGGAAAAGAATAGCATTTAAAAACCATGGTCAGACAACCTACAAAACAAAATTCTGAGCTCTCTACTAAATTTTTCAGAGTCCCCGTGCCCGTGTGCGTCGTTCGACTGCGGCTATGTCTCAGATGAATCTGACGACAAGGCCGAGAATCGTCAGTAAAGTGCAACGCGAGAAACCGCGATATGTAACGTTCCGCAAAATTCGACCACGGAGGACGTTTACAGATTGCACCTGAATCGAGCTCGTAAAACCGAGTTCAGGAACAAGAATATGATAGACAAAACAATGAAGTTTCCCAATATCTCCTCAGAATCGTTCTACATTACATATTAGCTGAAATATAAGCATCTTAATTTTGGGGCGGGGGACATGCTGGAACGTTATAAAATAACCCTTTAGAGCACTTTATCAACATCCATTGAATAGAAAAAGTGGTAACTTGAGATAGGTAAGAGTCGGCGACGTCGAGCCCAACACATCGCACCAAACCGCATCACAAAATGTTGAACAATATCGTTTTTAGAGCACAGACACAAAAGATATCTTAATTTTGACAACTGCTCATAGCAGTGACGAGAGCAGTCCTTTACGAGGCCGACCGTCTGCCCACCAACCTGTTGACGTTGATGACGTGCCCGTCCCTGATGTTATGCTTCTTCATGCTGCTGATCGCCAGCTTGCAGCCAGCCATGACCGCAGTCACGTTGGTGGCGATGATGGCCTGGATCTGAAGCAAATCCAAATCTACGAAGAAATGTACTTTCAATCCCAACACTCAAAAGTATGTACTGAGAAATTTTTCATTGTGTCATGTTTCTTTGCATTATAAGTTCTTTTTTTTACAATACAAGTCTTGTTTTACGAAACTCTCCTTGAGTTATCAGAAAACACGGTGAAGTTCTCTTACAAAAGTATTTTGAAGTAATTCGCAAAATTTCTTAATTTCTAATATGAAACGTGTAAAGACACTGTACAGTGTGCTTAAGATGTGCAAAAGACACAAGAAATTACTAAAAAGCAATCTCTTTTGTAATGCGAATAAAAGTTTATTTTTTATGAACACAGAAATTCCATTTACTTGAGAATAGTTTTCTTATACAACTGCTTTCAACTATAACTTTAACCTGCTTCCTTGTGACACAAAAGAAAGTCTTCAAAAGTCGCTCGTAGGACAAGCCTTTGTGTGAAGAAATCTTGCAATCATCACCAAAAGTAACATACACTCTAAAGTTGATATGCCCTGAAACTGGGCGCCTTTGTTGCCCACTCCACTATTTACGGAGCCAAATGTCGCCCAGTTTCTGGGCACCAATGTCGCCTAGTCTCGGGGTGGACAAAACATTGAGGAACCTATAGCTCTGCAGCAGCAGCTAGCGCCTAAGGTGCCTAGAATCTGGGCGCCTTATGGTCGCCCAGGAACTAGGCACCTATGCATGCTCTACCAAGGGAGAGGGCCAGTTGCTGTATGATTGGTACACCCCGAGACTGGTCGACAAAGTGCTCAGGAACTGAGCGACATTTGGCTTGGCACCCTAAGAAGTGGGGTGGGCGACAAAGGCGCCCAGTTTCAGGGCATGCCAATTTAGAGTGCAGAGGAAAACTTTACCTTGAATCGGGTGGTGCGCGAGGATGGCGGCGTTGTTGACAACGACAGACACGCCACCCAGGTTGTCCTCCACCCACTGGAAGACCCGCCCGACCTCCTCCACGCTGGACAGGTCGGCCTGCACCACCTCCAGGCGGCCCTTGGCCCCAGACGCGCGCAGCGACGCCGCCAAGCCCTGACGATTTTAAAAAGATACACTGAGAAAACCTTACTAACTATTTCAGGCGTTACAGAGCAAAGAAGTTTGTTAGAACAAAGTATTTTGAGCATACATAAGCTCACAAAGAAAATACTTCGTAATTTACGAACTATTTCTTCGTATAACAAAGTAAGTTAGTTTTTACGTATGTATGCTCAAAATACTTCGTAGGTTTTAAGGGTGTGTTGACGAACATTTTCTTTGCCAAAAATATCAAAATTAGCCTAGATATTTCTATAAGAAAGTGATGGTAACGCTTCAGAAAGCTTTAACACACAAGTAAAGCAAAGGCACAAAAACTGCGCCCGTGCGAGGTCACAAAATGTGTTTCACGTTCACTGTAGAAAAAAGGGACATTTTTACCGCTAAATTATTATTGCCGGAACTTTCCATAATTTGAGACGCAGGATTTGCCGTGATTATCCGTTGTTTGAAAGCCAGAGATTTCTGTAGGACGTTGAAAGTGCATAAGCACCGGGCAGTGAAGGGGAGATGGCAAGGGCTATCACTGTACAGTAGTCGGAGTGCCACCTCAGCTATCGGAGCGATTACTGAGATCGTAATATGATGATACTGATCCTGAGTTACTGAGAACCCTTCGCTGTTATAATACTAAGGTTTTTGTTGTATTACGAAGAAAAGCTCAGAGAGAGAGAGAGAGAGAGAGAGAGAGAGAGAGAGAGAGAGAGAGAGAGAGAGAGAGAGAGAGAGAGAGAGATACTTCTTGTTGGGTATGGGTCTCGGAGCCGTATGGCTCAAGTCAGGCATGTTCAAGCTCAAATAGGATCTTGGGAGCGCAGGTGCACTGTTATTCCACTTGCGATACAGACCGCACTTTCTGCGTAGTACAAATTTTATCGCACTTTTCTGTGATGATCATTGCTAAAAAGTGTGATGAGCTATAGTATCGCAGAATTTCGCCATGATCATTGCAAAAAACTGTAATGATTGCAGATTTTGTGTTGTCATCATCGCAGTTTTTTCCTATAATTTCGACTTTCATTGCAGAAAGTTGCGATGTTCATTGCAGAATTTTGTGCGATACAGAAGTCATTGCATCTCAGGAGCAATGATTCGTGGGAATCGCATGTTGGATATCATCGCACGTTTTTGTGTTGAAAGTATCGCAACTTGGATAACAGTGTGGCAGTGTATCGCAGCTTCTTCGGGTGCTGGCTGAAAGATACTAAGATGGCCTGGCCGATTTGACGGTGAGTAGTCCTCGGTTACAGCACCAGTGGCGTCGGCAGACAATGGCGGATGCCTTATCTCAGATCAGTATCTCCTGAGACCCCTCACCTCAGTAGGTCGAGTTGTGTTTACTTCCGTACGCCGCGGTGCGCTGTTGAAACCTAGACCTTGCACCCACTGCGGAAAACTTAAACGCTACCTTGTTTTGTTTTTTTAACGAATGGGACGTGCAAAGGCAGCCTTCAGTGCATACATGCGTCAATCCGCTTTGAATGCTGAATACTACCAAGCCTTCGCCTGAAATCTTCATTAGCTGTCACTTTATGGCGCTTCGGCCACCTGCAATGCTAAATTTTGTCAGGCTGGCAAGACTGTGGTCCTAAATGGGTTGCACACTTAAACTCTTCTGTGGCGAATTCTGACCCCTTAAGAAAACGGTATTGTTGTACACCAGAAGACATAATGGTGAGATAGTCCCGACCCCCAACACAATGTGTGGTAAGTCCCTTCCTGGATCATTTCAGGGCCAGGCTTGCCAATTTTCGACATTTTTTTAAAACGGCTTGCTAGGTTTGTGGCAAGCACTTGCCACCGGCTTTGCGGTGCACGCGTCTGCGTGCCAATTCAAGCATACATGCAGCTGTGTCGACATGCATCTGTAGAAGTGTACTTATGCATACTCAGCTGTGTACACACTTACAGATGCAAAACTATCCCAGTACTCAAAAAATCTCGTAAAGTAAAAATTCTCTATATTCTGGTGAAAATTCTGTATATTGTGATAAAAATTCTCAATACTACGGTGAAAATTCTGTATGACGGTGAAAATTCTGTATGATACGGTGAAAATCATAGCTTTGAGCACTACCTTATGGATATTTGGAAGCATGTCGATTGTATTATGGAGAAAATCTTCTCCATAATATGGTGGTGAAGCCTTTCACCGCAAGACAATAAGACATTTAGTGTTTGGGGGTACTGTTTTGCCGTCTAGATTGGCATCGACGCTCGCAGGGACTGCGACGTCCTGCTCACCTCGAGTCGGTCCTTCCTCCTTGCGACGCCCACGACGACCATGCCCGCGTTGACCAGGTCCTTGGCAACGTTGGCGCCGATGCCGGAGCTGGCGCCGGTAACGACGGCGACGCGACCCACGAACCGGTCCATGGCGATCGGGAGACTGACTGCGTGCCTGTACCACGACTGCCAACGCTCGAGTCGTGTCACGTCTGAGGGGGGCGGACTTACGTCACGGCGGTGCCGCTATCTTCACGGCCGAGACTCGTTTCAAGGTCTCTTCGCACTGGGGACGGCCGTGGCCGTGGGGGCAAGATTGTCCCGCTAACTTTAAAAACGTCTGGTAACGACAGAAAAAAATGCAGGCGCTGTGGAATTGCTTTGTTGACTGAGCGGTAGCGCAGTGGGGTTGAAAAACTTTTTCTGTCTGTGTCCGTCTGTCCGTGTGTGTACACTATCCCTCCTGAACGGCTCGGCTGATCTGGCTTCTGGCTGAGATTTTGCAGGGTCATTAGGTATGTCCTTGGCTCGCCTGACACCAATATTCAGCTTTCTATTTCTTCGTTGATGCAGAAAGGATAAGTGTTTAGGCATGTGCAGCGTAACTGGTCACAGTTGTGAAAAATTTTAATAGATGCATATGCTTAACATGTACACATTAAATATACACGTCAAGATTTATGAATCAAAATTTAAATTAAATAAAGAATACTGATAAAATACACACATACACATTCACATACTACAGAACTTAAAAAGAAATTACCACATACATTTAAAATGTGAATGATGATGAACTTCGTTCTCATTGTCTTAGGAAGGAATTTTGCATTTTACGAAGGAAACGGCGCAAGCATAACGTAGGTGGCTCTTCTCCGTATTACGAAGGTCTTTCATCTTTCTTTGCATCTTACAATGAAAAAGCTAAAAAGATTCGCGTTTCGAAGAAATATTGCTTCGTATTATGCTTGCGCCGAATTCACTGCAACATACTTATAGGTCAAATTTCATTGCGACATTTAGAGTGCAGTGAAATTCTTCACAAGTGCAAGGTTAATTGTTCGTATTGCAACAATTTTAGCGCATTGTTTAACAATGCACCTGCACCTTCGTCCTGGCCATTCACTTTAACAACATTACTCTCTGTACACGATAAAAACGGAACCTGGTTTTGCCAGGAACTCCCTGGAAGTCGCCTATGTCTCTACCACAGGCTTCCCGGGAAAACCAGGTACCTGGTTTTCCGGTATACCATTTAACCGTGTAGGTTGACAAACGAACAATTTTCGTATCACTTCATAAATAGTTTCAAAGTGCTTCGTACGGGTTTTAAGCGTGCACTGTAAGTAGGCGAGCCATGGTAACTTTGTATGCCGAAAATCTTGACTTTCCAGAACGAGGTAATCACTCAGAAAAGCTTGCAAAGAAAAGTACTTTGCAGTACAAAGTATTCGCCGCCATTGTATTACAAACTCCATTGCGAACTTTTTTCTTTGCATTGCAAAGAAATAGTTCGCAAGTTGCGAAGAAAAAAGTTTGCAACGTTGCGAAGCATTGGTTTTTTAACGTTGCAAAGCATTTTCTTTGCAAGTTGCAAAGAAATACTTCGCAATGCAAAGAAGATCCCAAGGGAAAAAATCCCTAACGTCCCTAACTAAAGGGATATTTCGCGGCCCCTTGGTATAGGGACGGTCCCCATGGAAGGGCCAGCCCCTATGGATAGTTCGTAAGAGAGTTTGCAATACAATGCTGGAGAATACTTTGCAAGGTTTTTGGAGTGATATCATTATGTAGTAATGTCCTGGAAACGGCTGTGGTGGCTCACAGGCCGCGAACTCGGCCCGGGGCTCGCACGGGCGCTGGAGTTGTCATTCTGTATTTGTGGTACAGATCCCGCCAGAACTGAATCATCGGACCGCTGAAGCTCTCCTTGCGAAGGAAGAACGCATCCGTCTTCATTTCGAGGAACGTGACCTCGTTCTCGAAGGAGGTGTTGGGAGGCCAGTCCGTAGTCAGGACGACCGGGTCGGTTTGCGGGACGGGCTTGCTGCGGGCATACAAACACACACTGTTAAGATGGGCTCACTTTGCGGTGCACAAATGTCTGCTTTTTCCAGGGACGAAAGTCTGAGACGTTTGAACATGATGTCCCATTCCTTTCAATGTTGACCTACGTTCAAAAGATGTTGACCAACGTTCAAGAGATGTTGACCTACGTTCAAAAGATGTTGACCTACGTTCAAGAGATGTTGGCCTACGTTCAAAAGATGTTGACCTACGTTCAAAAGAATGTAAAGCTGTCCATGCAGACGCTTGGTACTCACCCATACTTGATGAAGTTGGTCCACAGCGCGGCCACTCTCTGCAATGCAAGGTCAGCATCCGGTTTGGGATCCAAGTCGATAAGTCGTGTTAGGTAGTATCCGAGGTCGTCAGTGTGTGTCGCCACTGTAAAAAATGTGTCAGTGTTTGCGTGGTTCGACATAACGGCACACCCTGTAATTCTACGAATGAGACGTGTCATATTCGTTAAAATAAGATTTTTGTGACTTTCGTTTTGAATATGATGTCTCACATCAATCAATGATTGTTGATCCAAGTACCAATGAACGTGACATCCCGATTAATCGGTCGTGCCACGTTCAAACGAATGAGACATCTTACTCGAACATGAAAAAATAATAACATTTTAACGAAAATAACGTAACATTCGCGACGCAACAGTGTAAATAAAGCTGGCCTCTGACGTTCTTACCATCCTTAGTGTCACTCGGGCCGGCCAGGGGCTGGTTCACGTCCGTTCTGACACTGAATTTGAAGAGGTAAGTATCCGCTTTGTTTTCTTTGGCCCTGAACATCGCCAGACGATGCGTATCCGTAGTTTGCCAGATGTTGTCAAAGTACTGTGAATTGAAGACCAATTTAAAGGTCAATAAAATAGGACTCGATCAAAGTTCATAACGAATAGGAGAATGGAAGAAATCCTCACCCAAATTTGGGTGATGAAATGATCCTCACCCTAATTTGAGCAATAAGGAATTCCTCATCCAAAATTTTAGTTCTTATTATGACTCTTCCATTCTCTGTGTTACCAGTGTTTCATTTTGAGCACTTACCGTCTTCAGAGTGCATCCCAGATCACAGCTTGCGGTCACGTGGTCGCGTACACCCTTCTTCACTTCCTCCAGAATCGTATTGTAGTCAACTGTTGACTCCGGCAGGCCCAGAATTTTCCGTGTGTCTTGGTTAGGCAGGAGGTCTTTAGGGACGTGACGGGCTATGTTCTCGACCAACTCCTCGTCTATGGTTGCTTCTGACCGCGGGTCTAAAGAAGAAAAAATCTTTGTTAACACTGCGGATCTTCCCAGTGACAGACTCCAGAAACACAGAACATAATCAATGAAGTCCATATTCGGAACAAATGAATGATGCAGATGGAAATTGGACTTCAATTTCAAAGAAATAACGTCTACATTTTCAAAAGTGGAAGGTTGGAGGTCACTCATATGGTTTCTATGATTTAAATCTTTACGTAAGATTAGACTGCGGAAGCATGTTCACTTAGTTCTCTAAGGAGAGGACAATTCAAGAGGAGCTGAGGTCTGCATTTATATTGATCTAGTAGATTTTTTTGGGAGTTACCTCTTTTTTCCAACTAGAGTTTAAAACGGAGGTGTTCAGTTGACTCTTTTACATATGATAAATAAAAATGCAGGTTGAGCTATATCATATTTTTTCAACGAAGTCATGTGGACTTCGGATATATCCATTTTACTGTGAAATTTGGACCATAAAGGGGTCAGGTTAAGGTATATACTTTACCCAGCATATTGTTGCTAGTGACACCTGAGCTACAGGGGCTAATGATTTTGTTTTACAGGTCCAAACTACAAGCAAATTGGCTGAGTACTGCGGATGCACTTTACTCACTGTTTTGGTAGTAGTAGGGGAGCCACTCCGCGTTGGTGTTGCCAATCAGCATCGGAATGGCAGGCATCTCTGGATCCAAGAAGTAGCTCTCTTTGTCCTTGGTAACGAGCAGTGGCTCGCCTCCGGGCACTGGCTTGCGCCTCTCGGGGGTGGGGACGACCGGGACTTCTGGCTGTGACTGTAACAGGCAAGCGTATTGAAAACTGCGTTCTTTTGAGTCTAATTCTAAGCGTGTAGCCCTATTTAGGGTCGAACTAGCCTGGATGCTATTAAAATTCTTTTTAATACGGTCATTAAATAACACCTTTTAAAGGCCTAGAACTTTTATTTTAGGCACACTGCCAATCCAAGTGTGAGACAATCTCACACTTGTAGGTAGGTGTGGGACAATTTGTCTCACGCTTACATGTGAGCCACGCTTGTCTCACGCTTGCAAGTGTGAGACAACGTGGGACCCGTGGCATTTAACCACAGAGCTAGCATAGGCAGCAAGTGTGGGACAAACCGTGTCTCACACTTGCAAGTGTGAGACGTGGCTCACACTGGTAACCGTGAGACAAACTGTCCCACACTTACAAGTGTGAGACTGTCTCACACTTGGATTGGCAATGCAATGTTTGTTAATACTAGAGGATGAAATAAGTTTCACCCTAAAAACACCTTTCAGCGTATAACTCGCATCCATAGGCACTAGACTTCAAGGTCGTGGAAGGCAGGGCGGTATTGGGAAAGATAGCACTTGAGAAAGATTGGCGCAAACTGCGGAATCACAGCACTATCTCACGAGCTTCGTCGCACTAATAGGTTCCTAGATGTGTCGTCGTTTTGTCATGATTCCAACTAAAATTGTATCGAGCTCACACAGTGCCACTTAAGATGGATGGTTTCAAGTCAGCCCACTGGTACCTCGCAGGAGTAATAGTGTGCATTCAGGCACACGCTTCGCTTAGGAACAGTGCGCATGTACATTGGTATTTCTGAAGTGATAATTTTCATGCAGTGATAAAAAGATGGATATTACTCCTTCAAATTACCGCACCTGTGGCAGCAATGAAGAACAAATGCAATAAAATTTCTACGTTTGGGCCGCTTTTGACCCAATTCTCACATTTTAGGTGTGATTGTGTGATAGCAGAGTGCAATTTGAATGCGATAGCGTTTTGATAGCACTAACACTGCAATAAAAATGTTAAAGATTCTGAAGTGAGTTTATGATTACACTTGGAATGACAGCGCATCCAAGCTCATTGAAGAGGGCACAGGCGGGCTCCACACTAAATGTTATGTACAATTTTGTATAAGACATCACTGAAAATAGAAAGGTCTGACTTTTGCCCCTTTAGCGGTCTTACTGAAATGTACGACCGAAAAAGGGTCATACTGAAATGTAAGACCGAAAATAGGTCATACTTTATAGTGTATTACGGTTAAAGGCTGATATATCCCCAAGCTAAACAATAGCCAGTCTCGCTGATGTCTGACCTTTTATTGGTCTTACATTAAAGTATGACCGTTTTTCGGTCATACTTTTTGTATCACCGAAAATCGGTCAGATGTCTCACCCTTCCAGTTTCAGTGATTGCAGTTTTTTTGTTCTGGTGAACTTTTCGGACAAGTCTTCCACACAAAAAACTGCACATATCTCCTCAGAGTTGTAAACAATCGCGTACAAATTATGTAAAGTTCATCTGCACAACAAACTGTGACGTCTCGTACAAAATTTGTACAAAAACATTAAGATTTCAGTTTGTAATAGCATTTGTCTCACCTGCATGGCGCTGTTGATGGCCAGCATGGCGTTGACGTGCAGCTCCTCGATGGTGGCGTTCATCAGGTACTGCTCCGCCTCGTTGAAGTCCGTGACCGTCTTGTGGGCGATGTTGGACGCCACCTGGAGGGCCGTGGGTATGTGCGTCTCGGTGTAGGCCCAGTTGTGGTACGGGGTGCCGCTCATGAGGGTGGCCCCGTGGATGCGACCTGCGAGGTTCGCGCGATGTTATGGCACATTCCATAGGAACGTTGCATCACTGGTAGAACTCAAGCGTAGTTTTACGCCTTCAAGCGTAGTAGAACAACGCTCGGCTTCAAGCATAGTCCTCCATTTTGCCCCTCTCCCGTCTATCTAAATGCATGGGAGAATTTCTTCTCTACGCTTGACGCCAAGCGTAAAGTCTTCAAGCGTAGTTGTATGCTTGAATCAAGCATACAACTACGCTTCAGTTTTACCGGTGATCTCGTTCAAAATAATGTGATAAAATGCCACGGTCATGGATAGTTTATGAATTGTGTCACGCTTGTCTTCTTGATGAATGATAGACCGTCAAGTAGCCTGGTTTCTTTTCTCCTGTACATGAGCGACGCAAGTGCGTGTGTGCCTCCTGCCGTGTTTAGGGTCCTCGATAGCCTTGCTATCAGAAGAAACGCTCAGTTGGTCTTCGCTGAGATTCAAAACTGTCTCATGGGCGTGACTATCAGTTTTGTGCCTCCACTCCAAATGTTGCAGCAGCCGCTGGCAACTCCCCTTTCCGGGCTGCGAAACCAGGCTCGGAAGTGGAGCGGCTCCGTTTTCTAACTTCTAAATGAATTAAGCTAATAGAAGCTATTTGATTGCCACTTAACGAGTACATCAGGGCATCGTAAAATTTCACGTAGATTACGATTCTGTCCTTACATTTGCAACAAGACTGAGAATTGTGGAAATAATCACGGATTATGTTCAAATTGCGGCGTCGGCTCGCCCGTATCAGCTCGTCTCATATTTGCAATGTTAATGTAAACAAACTACAGCAGCTAGAAGGAAAAGGTCACTTGCAATCGTAAGATCGCACTTTTCCCTTGGTATTTTCACAATTGCAAAGCTCGAACGCCGGCTAAAACAATTATTTCAACAGAAACAAAACCTGTTCCGGAATTGAGGTTATGTCGGCTCAAATCATTGTCTGTTGTTTCTCTACTGAATTGTTTCTGTACTCCGCGTATGCACTCACGCACCTTTCATCTCCGGCAGTCTGGTAAGCCAGCCCGCCATCGCGCCGCCGGCAGACTGCCCGCCTATCGTCACCCTGTTGGGATCGCCGCCGAAGGCGGCAATGTTGTTGTGGATCCACTGTAGGGCCGCCACGTTGTCCTTGAGCGCGCAGTTGCCAGGGATTTCTTCCGTGTCAAGACTGAGGAAACCTGAGAGAAAGGAGGCGGTTTTAGCGGGTCTGCTTCCAACCAATTCTGTTGGAAATGCTAAGTGCGCTTCACACAGGGCGTCCAAGTCTACACTGGTAAAACTAAAGCGTAGTGTTACCCTCTGTTTTCAAGCATAGTCAGTTTACGCTTGAAATCAAGCGTAACAGGCTCATCCACCAATATTCTCCCTATCTAAATGCATGGGGAAATTTCTAGTCTATGCTTCATTTCAAGCGTAACGTCTTCAAGCGTAACATTATGCTTGACTCAAGCATAGAGTTACGCTTTAGTTTTACCAGTGTACACTCAAATTTTTGTGAGCTTGGCAGTAGCGTGCGAAGAAATTTGTGCAAACATAATACAAACAATTATTTTATGTTTTGAATTGTTTTTGACCTTTTATCGAGAATAGTCATATTACGAAGAGAAAATAGCTCACTTTGTTTGCAGAATATTCTTCTAATTGCAAGGCAATGGTGTTAGTTTTTTTTAAATTCAAGAAGTCCCTTTGTTGGGTGCAGGACTTGAACCGATAAAGTTGACCCCACTAGTGGATTCCTCGTTCGGATATCAATCCACTGGTGGGGTCACAGGTTCGGTTCTAGTCCCATGTAGCGACTCTGGAGCTCAACTTCCGTCCACTGTGCAGTGTCGTACCGAGAGCGCCGAGCCTGTACTGGACGGTCACCACGACGACGCCGTGTGGCAGCAGATAGTCCGGCCCGTAGCGCGTGACGGACGGAGCCCCGAACTGGAAGCCGCCTCCGTGGACGAACACGTACACGGGCTGCTTCTCCGACTTGTCCTGACAGAGCCATAAACTATTAGTACGACAACCCGATCGCATAGTGTGCACTGAGAATCCAAACGCTATGAATATAGCGTCAATTGGTGCAATGCAAAAGCATTGCACATGAAGTGCAATGCCTCCCCATTCCCATGCATTAGCATAGGGCGGTTTCGGGATGCATTGCACGTAAGGTGCAATATGGCTGTGGCATTGCACGTATGGTGCGATATGTCAACTGCATTGCACCATACGTGCTATACTCATAGCGTTTGGAATCTCAGTGTGTGTTCCAACTATATACTCAAAAACGTCTGGGCTTCGTATTCACTGGCAAAAAGGTACGGAAAATTCTGTGAATTTTTTGCCAGGATTCTCCGTAGCCCTCTTGTCAATATCCTCCGTAGGATCTTACATTACTCTCCGTAGGACCTGGAAGACTGTATCGTCTTACGAAGAACACTGTGAGGTCCAACGGGGAATACTGTAAGATTCTACGGAGGATATTGGCAAGGGGGCTTCGGAGAATTACCACAAGCTGTTTACAGAATTTTCGTACCTTTTTGCCACAGTGTCGTAACTACGAGGAAAATGAAACATCGCAAAACTTTGTTGTCAGCTGGGTTATGAATACGGTTGTCCTAATATGAGGACTACTCGGTTACCCTCGGATTACGTCCGATTTTTTTTTTTCAAGATTACACTTGGATCAACCTGGTTTACCGCCGGATTCCGCCTCGAAATTTTTGGTCATCCGGTTTACGGATTACCAATTTGCTGTCATCCGGATTATCCGAGCCGCGACCCCCCGCCTTTGAGTCACTGTGCGGTCACGCCTTGAGTGCTTACCAGGTTAGTGGTGAACACGTTCAAGAAGAGACAGTCCTCGCTTCCCCGCAGGTCGCCGTCCTGGCCCTGTGCGCACCAGGATCCTGCCTCCTTGGCCGATCGCACGCCTGTCCAGCCCGGGTGCGGCCTCGGAGCCTGCACAAGAGTCATTATCAAGTGGATGTCCTTCAGCAAGTTAATGAAGCGTCATTTGGGGCAATTTTGAGACACGGGGTTAAAATGGTCCCTGTCTCTGAACAAGGTTTTACATTTCAAAACTCGTGCCGTGCAAAATGTGATTTTTGAAAGTGACCATCACATTTACTCGCATTTACAGCCACACACTGAAAAAAGTCTTCAGAACTTTACGACAAAGTTCGCAAAGAATACTTCTTCAATCTTTGTAATACCTCTGAAGAGTCAAAATACGAACTTCTCGTAAAACACTAAATGCTAATTGCACTGCAAACCTAACTAAAGTACACACTTACAAACGCATGCTTGACGCCGTATAACTGCATGCGTCAAGCATACGTTTGTAAGTGTGCACTAACAAGCATGCATTTGTAAGTGTATACTTGCGAGCATGCATGTGTACTTAGTAGACAGTTAGGTTTGTAGCGTGTTCCTGACATTCTTTGAAAATGGTTAAAAACAGCCAAACAGCTTTCAAGCTATTCAAGTTTCTCGTAAAACAACGAATTAATCTTCGCTACATTTGTCGTAAAGCGACTTTCCTCATTTAAAAAAATTACATTTGTTACTCTAAAACCACCCAAACTGACCCTGGAGATAATAGTCGAAAGGTGCGTCTACTAACCTTGAACCTGAGCGGACCCACGGGGGGCTGGGCGAAGGGCACGCCCCAGAAAGCGGCGTATTCCACACGATTGGCGCCTTTTCCTCGAGTCCACTTGTTGACCCCTTCGAGAAGCCCCTGCTGCACGCGCACCACGGGCCCTTCGGGTGTAGGGGCGGGGCTCGTTGGTACCGGCACGGGAGGGGGGGAAGCAGTTGCAGGGCCGGGGCCATTGCTCGGGCAGTTCGTTCCCCTCGTCGTGTAGTAGACAATAAGTCCCACGGCTACCAACGCGACAACCACTCCCAGGCCTCCAAAAACTGTGAACGAAGGGTGAGGAAAATATCAAGATAAAATTGTCAATTGATCACACTGTTGGAAAAAATGTTGTAAATTAACAACATTTTTTCTGCCAATTTTTTCTAACACGTCTAGTTATATTACAAACATGTTGTAGCACTGTGCTGTTTTCTGATGAATCGATTGTTGTAAAACAACACATCCATCGAGTCTTACATTTTGACTTGGCCACATTTGTGTTTGCCTAATCGTTTTGTAATTTAACAAGATCCATGTTATATGATATCAATGTTTGTTTTTGGATTGGGTCGTGTTTATAAACAGAAAATCTGTTAATTGACAACAAACTGATTTTAACCACGATTATATTATTGTTTTCAGACAAGATAGTTGTAATAAAACAAAATAATTGTCTTTTGTATGGATATCCTGTTCAGACATCAAAAAGACAAAGTAATATAACAACATCCGTGAAGGATATTGTGTTGTAATATTACAGTGGATTTTTAACAGTGCATGTAGAAATTGAAAAGTACATTGCAAATGACAAAAAGTCAGGTTCAATGGACTAAATACGTGATACAGTGAACAAAATAGTGCAAAGCCAAAGAGAAAATAGTGTATATTGGGTTTGCACGAAAATCTTTTTGGCAAGAGATAAAAAGTCAATACGAGACTTAGAGTGCATCGAAACGAATGTGACACAATGATCAAACGAATGTAACATTTTGTCACATTCGTTTCAACGTGATGTCACGTTCCAGGAACGAGAGTGTAGAAATTCAAACCCATCGCATTTAGATAGCGAGAATCTTGGTGGAAGAGGCTTTCAGGTGTACGCGAGTACTCTTTAAAACATAGGGGAATACTACGCCCAAGTTTTACCTGGGCACACTGCAAAAAAGAGTGATCCTGGTCAAAAAGTTTATCGCTATGCTGAGTCACAGAGTGCTCAATACGCTGAGGACAATGTACACTTGGCCAAACACCGAGGGGACAGTCACTCGCAAAATCCTGGGTCCACTGGAGCGTCTTACATCCATTGAAGTCGGAAATCTTCCCCCCCAAAAAGCAAAACACGTGCAAAACTCGGCCATAGAATTCGGTAGAATCCGACGAAATATCGTCCTTTGAGGTATCTTGCATACCGAAATATAAAGCGTGATAGCCACCTCGCTAAGCACGGTGTTCCACACTGATAATTCAGACCACCCCGTTCTAAATTTTCAACCCACCCGATTCTTAAGTTTCATACCACCGAAACGGTCTGAAATTACAGATTAACTTATGCCTAATTTTGTCCGAAATTTCAGAATTTCTTTTAACAGTGTCTTCAAATATCTTGGGGGTCTCAATGCATACACTTCCTTCACAGATGCGCGAAAATGCACAAAGTTGTGTTTTGGGAAACAAAATTATCAAGTTAGTTTTTTTTCTGGGCGTCGATCAGGGGCGTGTGCAGAACGTTTTACGGGGGGGGGGGCTATTGCCTAACTTGCAGGGGCGCGTATCTCAAATTGCCTACCCTCCAGGCAATTCGACTTCCTGAGAAAAGACTTCCTCACCTTTGCTTCGTGCGCTCATGGCGGAGGCGTGGTGTTCGACTGAGCAGCGCCAACCTTCTCTCGTCACTGTGGCACGCACTTATAAGAAGCAAACATTGCCCGGCCTGGGACACTCGAAGCGATAAGAGATGTCCCAATCGATTTTCTGCCTGGTCGACCTTACTTGCAATTTTTTTTTGGTTCAGCCTGAACATCAAGGCCACAGAGATGCACTGGTACACAAAGCCTTACCAGGACTGTTCCGAACAAACTGAGAAAGTGGGTAAAGATCTGTGGGCGGGTGGGAAGGATCCTGAAACCCGACGCTGAAGGGCTCAAGGCGCGCCTCACACTGCAAAGCCAAGTGTAGGACAATTCGACGCTTGTTGGCGTAGACCACTTTGGCCCACCCTTTCGAGTGTCGACCTGTTGTGTCGAACGCTTTGACGTCAACCGCGCAATGTACGACGCCTGAAAGTGTCGACCACAGCATGCCCGACGGCTCGAAGTGTGGTGCCACAGCAGGAAACTGGTTGTAGTTTGCCGCGGGACAAAGTCCTACACAGGTACCTGCAAAAAATTCCGTGGTTTGGCACGGAAAATGTACGGAAAAATAGGGTACAGACGGGTACGGAAAAGGTACGGACCTTCTGTACTGGTTCTCTCTGGTCCCCATGAGGATCTCACGTAAACGGGTACAGAAATCATGTACAGAACCTCCGTGGTTGGAAAGGTACGGACGGTCCACGTAAAAAAATTGACCAGACATGTTCCGTGTAATTTCTGTACTTTTTTCTATCAGTGTGGTTGAAAGTTGCAAGCGTGGGGCGAACTAGTCAAGGCCTACAAGCGTCGATTTGTCCTACAGTAGTATTTGAAGTGCAGTGCTGCTGACTCAAGTCGCTAGTCACAGTCAAGTCGTAACAAACCCCGGCACAAACTCATCAATTTGCCTTTATTTATATAAGTTTTTGAGCGCTTTTCGTGACATTTCCAATCTACTCACTGGGAACTCAGTCAAGTTACAAGCCCGCAAGTGCATGTCTCCTTTCGGAGTGTGAGGAAACTCTAGTGAAAGCGCCGGAGGGAAAACGGGAATTGGGGAATTTGATACCCTTGAAGATGATACTGGTGAATTCTGACGCAACGATATTTTTCTCAGTCTAAAATTAAGACTTTCAAGGCGCTCTTTACCGAGGGGGTATGCACTCGCGTAATAGTCGGATCACTCTATCTGTAATAGCACGCGTAATTGTACGCGTAATAGCCGAAATTCTCCAATTTTTGGCAATTTTGGGGTGTTTTGGGGCCGTTTATAGCTAAATTCTGATTATTTTGAAGCGTAATAGAGCGTAATAGCGTAATAGTCGGTTCACAGGTTTTGAGAGTGCATACCCCCTCGCTCTTTACCTTGTCTAACGATGACAGTGAGTCCAGTGAGTTATCACAATGTGTCATTACGACGTTGATCGAAAAACGGTAATTCCTTTCGCCAAAACCACAATAACTCAGAGACATTTCACGTAGGTTTCGAATCTGAGCCTGGATCACAGATTATAACGAAGTATTGCAAAGGTGAAGCGGATGCAATGTACTTGATTTACGGGAGAAGAGGATCTGGCAGGTGTGTCATCATCATCGGTCTGTTTACGCCGGCTGTTTTTATCTTTGAACATCAACAGCACTCATCTTTACGTATCTCCACTTCTATTCTGAATTTAAAGTGCCTGAGGCCGAGAACACATCTTCCGTATCGTTACAAAGATTATTCAAAATCGGCGCCTTCTAATAGAAAAATCCTAACTATCAATGCTGAGCCAAGACAACCCAACCCGAACTACCAGAGCAGATCCAAGTCAATCCTAACTGTCAGTGTCCATTCAGAAATCCAAACTGCACATGACGTGAGAATCTGTCTCAAAAATAAAAAAATCGAAAATATAGGTCAAAAACTACATATTAATTTAGTGTAAAAATAGTCTGAAACCTACAACAACGACAACAATAACAAAAACTACAGTTCAATGCACACAAAATCGGTTTGTACTGCTGTCCTGTAAAGTGAATATCCTTCGATCCGAAGAACACTTTCCGGTACCTCTGCAATTAGGACAGTTCTCAATCCGTCCCGATTAGGATTGTTTTGGATCGGCATTGGCCGTACGATTGTCTTGGATCTGCACTGACAGGATTATTCTGTGAGAGAGCGTTGAACTCTGTAATATCTTAAAGTTGCCTCGGTAAATCCTTGCGGCTTGTTGTCTGTATAGCCCTTGCCCCTCAGCCCCTCATGCAAAAAGTCATTAGTTCAGGCTTTGTTTTCCTGTTAACTTGCCCTTAAATGCTGACACATCCTGAAAGTGGCCCGACCCAGTTCTTCGTATCAGAGATGCATCTACGCAATAAGGAACGTCGTCTCTAGTACCTGTAACAGATCGACAAAATGACTCAGAGCAGCTCGAGACAAAAAAAAACACTTGACCGGGGACCCCCTCAGATCTGGCTCCCTCCCGGTTTTTTCGGTTCCCCTAGTAAATACCAAATGCCGAAACACAAATAGGGTCGGATCCATCACCGATTGGCTTTTTGGTAGAGGTCAAAAACCCCTAAAAATGGCTGTTTTTGAGGGTTTGGGGCTTTTTGGGATATCGGAACCTGCCGGGGAAAAAATCTACCAAAGTGTCTTTTCCGAAAGAAAAAACGCGCTCTTTCGAATGCCGGGTCGTGTGAGGCTCTACGACGTCGGGTTTGGACGCTACGGGCTCTCAAAGTTGCCCAATTTCACTATTTTGACTGAAGATTTAAGAATATGAGGGCCGTTCGAAGTGGACCATCGGCGATTCCGCTCCTCTTTGGCTTAAATGGTGCCTACCCATAGGTAAACACCCTGACAAAATTTCAGCCATCTCAGGCAATTACTAGAGGAACTGTGAACAATTTAAGTTTTGGGTCATTTTACCACTGGGCTTAGGTGGTTTTGGGTCCAGAAAAAAATATTTTTTTCTGCTATCTCTATTTGATCAGCACCTCTTGCAACGTCTTTCTCAAGCTAATTTCTAACAGTGTACTTTTTTAACAGGGAATCCCGGACTTTTTTTACAAGGCAATACCGTACTTTCAATACCTATCAAAAACTGCTATAATTTTTTTCGGTCGGTCGACCCTCGTTTTCCAAGATCCTGATGTACGCAACTGCTGAAGTTGGACTCCTGGACCCCCTTCCGACCACTCGTTGAAAAGGTCTTAACGGGATCTATTGAAAGCTGAATTAAAAATTCTCAGTCGGTCGCCCCCCCCCTTTTTAAGATCCTGATGTGGACAATTCTTGGAAGCTGCATTTGTTGGGACCAGAGCTGGTCTTTCCTCTATTTTTTGAATAGAAAGGCGGGCCAAAATGTACGGCATGGACTGTGCGGAAGAACAGTAACTACTGTAAAAAGACTACGGAATATTTTGTAAGACAAGTACGGTAAATACTGTAGGCTGGTGGATACTGGTTTTTCAAGTACGGTAAAGGTTGGCAAAAAATTATCCAGACTTTACCGTCATTTTTTCTCGGAGTGCATGTTCGCCAAACGAAATCGCCCCTCTCGAGTTTATAAAGTTTGTAAAACCAACCTTTATGCTGTTATTACGTTGTGAGTACGAACTGTTCTACAGAATTGCGGAAAACATGACAAAAGAACCGCAGCCTTTAAAAGCATGCCAAACAATCCAACCTCAGCAACAATGGAGGGGCAGTTTCAAAGCGCGCCTACTCGTATTTTCAGTCTCGCGATTTTCGAAAGGGCGCAGACGGCAAAAAATTGTTGCCAACCCACACTGTTAGAAATTAGCTCCGAAATTTTATGGAGAAAAACCCTATAATCACGTACATGGAGACTCCATTCATTTTCCATCTTTTTTCGGAGAGATTTTCTCAGGGTTTAAACAGATGTTCTTCGGAGCATTACTTGGGTCCTGGTGGGAGGTAAAATGCATATCTTTTCTCAGATATGTTAAAGAGGGCTTCGCTGAAGCATTCTTTAGTCTGAACAGGGGGCGGTAACACTACAAAGCAGGAGTGGGGCGAAGCTCAGGGGTTACGTGCAGGGGTTACGGACTTCTTCGAGATTATTAAAACTAGGCCATTGTTTTCAAAACGCTTTGCACGGGATCCGGACAATTCGTCCCCGAAAATTCGTCCCAAGGACTTTTGGGTCCGCAAACGATTTGCCCCCGCTATAATTGGTCCCCCTTTCAAATTGGTCCCCAAACGTGTCCCCGTTTTTAGAATGGTCCCAGCCGGGACAGTCCCCATGCCGGACCAAGACATTACCACGAATGTGACGCATGGTACCTCTTGATTTATGTCGTGTCACATCCAAACGAATGTGACACACGTGAACTGTCACATTCGTTCCAATGTGACATGCCCGAATTGTCACATTCAATCGAACGTGACACCCCATAATCCGACAATCATGGCGTGTCACATTCAAAGGAACAGGAAAAATTGAGCATGTCATATTACGACGAATGTCACAGTACGTGGGTGTCACATTCGTTTTAATTTGACAGTTCTCCAGCTGATTGAGTGTCACACCCGGAGTAATGTGACAAAGCTGTGCCGTATGTCACATTCGTTTGTCTGTAAATTTTCGCCGTTTGTCACTCTTAAACCAACATCGCCGTTATCACGTGAATACGAACGTGCCGTCACGTTCGTTGGCTACTAGTGTATAGGAGTGTTAGTGTTGTAGATCGCTACGACACTTACCACGAGGCAGACGACATCCTGTGCTACCTGCGCGCCATCGGCCACAACGTGATGGAGAATATATAAAAATCTTTGGCTGCACCTGTTCTTTCTTTAAGTTTTGAAGTAAACAAACGAAATTCTGAAAAACATTATTAAGGGGCAAATTGACTAGGGACCAGTCATATTTGGGGACGAACAGTTTGGGGTACCTATTGTCCCGGGGACGAAATGGGGGTTACGAATAGTCCGGGGACCGATTTTCGGGGACGAATTGTCCTAGACCCCCCTTTTTATCATCAATGTTCTCGCATTCACAAGCATCCTCGTCGCGCTTTAACAAGGTTAAAGAACTACACCCTCAAGCAATCGCTTGCAGCAGGTGACGACCTGGGTCTCTGACCACAAACTGAGGCACCCTGAGTAATGCAGGTGTTAA